ACATATTGTACACCTTCACTGCAGTTCAAAATTGTCTCTCTTTGCAAGTTGGACTCACCGCTAATGTCAAATGCATAATTAAATAAATAAGCTCAATTGAAAATGAAGTAAACAAATTCAGTGACACAATCCCAAACTGAATCCTGCTTGCATTTTCCGCTTCTTTTTCCTCACACACCATGCAAATGTTCATTCATTCTCTCAATTACGAACGAATATTTGGCTAAAATGCTAATTAAATGCTTCCCTTGCATTGATCGTGTACAATAACTAATATTATACATAATTTTTGCATTTAAAAGCATAGAAGACTCTTTCACCCCTTTGCAGAATCAAATACTACCACAAGTGAGTAATTATCACAATAATCTGCACATAATCAAAAACATAGCTCTACTAATATTAGAAAATTTGGGTAAAAAATACCGAAAATGTACGAAAATAACTCGTCATCAACACTCACTCATAAAAGCAATAAAAATACGAAATAAAACTAAAAACACAATGAGCTCATTGAAATGAACTTTCCCCTCCCAAATTTGAAATATAAACAAATGCTCTTAAGGCACGTTTTGGCTCATTTTCATCAAATTTTCTGACTGTTGTACTTTACTATGCCACAGTTTGTACAGAAATAAACTAAATGCTTCATTCTAAAAAATTCTTCATCTCACCTTATTACTAAATTAATATGTTTGGAATTAGCAAGAGCTAATAATCACTTATTTCCTTGAAATTATGGTAGCAGTTTTCTCGTTCAGAAATAAGCAAGCATGACTGCAAATGTCAACAATTATTACCAACTTATGTAACAACGATTATAAACAGGCCTTCACTAGCTAGTTCATTTTAAAAATAAGCAGTAACGTAATTTTTAACAATGTTCGTTACAGATACCAAATGCTTACTAACGCCTAAAAAAGTTCCATTTATTTTCTTTTTCCATTTGTATTTATGAGAATTACTGCGAATTAATAACGATAATTATTAAGTTGCGATTCAACGTACAATTATGTTTCATTCTTATATGCGCAAGACTTCAATTTTTAATCCGTAATAACTTCGTCCGAAGTTAGAAAATTTTGAAAAATTACATGAACAACTTGATTTCAATAACCTTTTAAAGTCACTCTGACATTTTCCATTCTTTTTAAAAATGTATCTGGATTATAGTTAATTTAATATCTTCACAGTTTTTGAAGAGGAAATAAAAATAGCTGCTGGCAAGTTTTGACGCTAAGAATGATAACAATCACTCTTTTCAAATTGTTTATTTTTTATTTTTTTATATAAATATGCACTTTTCATAACTATCAATGTGATAAACCTCTAATTCTTACAACCTGCATGACTGTAGTGTAAATATAAAAAATCAAAAATTTTAGTTTTCACTTCCCTCAGATAAATAATAATTTATTATTTTGCCTTGCCACATTAGCATATTTCTAATTCAAATCCTTTAGGCACAAATAAATATATTCATTTAAAGCTACTTTTTTTCCCCATTATCCACACTTACTTTAAATATGTAAGCTAAAATTAGCACACTCTCTTCAGTGAAATTCTTTACGCTACTTTAATGGTTCCACCAACTCCTTACTGATGCTATGCATACTGATAGCTTTGGAATCAATCAGTATGAATTACAGAAATCTTTCTTCATTATTCACTCAGAAAGCACTAAAGGAATAAAAATTTGTGTCTATCTAGGCTTTAATATTCATTTTGATGCAAATAAGAGAACTGAACGATTATTCATCAAATCCTCCCAAGATTCTTCAGAACTTTACTTCAATATAATAATAAAAAAGTTCCAAATTTTGATTAGCTATTTCAAAAAACAAATAAACATGTTTACCTACTTGTTAGAATAGATATAGCTGAAAAATATGAAAATATAAATCATCAAACTTTTAATATTTGTTGAAATCGGTCCAGATGACTAGATTACTGTTTTTGAACTGATAAACATGTAATTATTTGATCGGCAATGATTTTATTTCAGTAATAAGAGCATTAATTTATTTTCAAAATTTACTTCCTTAAGACTGATCAAATATAATCTTAAAAATAAAGCGCAGTTAAACTGACCGGAATTACTATCATCATCTTGCACGCTTCGTTTGCCACCACTATGGCCCGAGGCATTATCACTGTGACGGCTTTGCTGACCACCCATTGGCCAATTATCCTTTCATCGTTTCATTATCTTCTAATACTACTTAATAACAATAATAATAGCAACCATTGTCATTAAATAAAAATTTCACTTCATTCCGTATCACTGCAAGTAACATAAATTATTCGCAAAGCAAATACGTGAAACATATGAAGAGATTTGGTTGACTAACGGGATAACTGTAGCACACTACGTAAACGCTAAAATGATCTCAACGGATAATATAAATGTAGGTCAAATAACGACATGCCAATTACCAATAAAGATATCTCCTTACAACACACTGATAAAAAGACACGGAAAGATATACGATCATAAGTTCTGCATTTCCATAGTTCGGGACTTTTTCTTTCCAATAATACTTTCAATGCGAAAAATTGTGCATTAAGCGGAAATGGTCGCAAAGTACGAGAAAAAATGATAATAAACATGACAAATAAAGTTTAGAAATGACCAACTTACATCACTATGTGATATCATTATTTTGATGAAATCACAAATTCGTTGGTTTCTTACAAAGTATTGGAAATATCAAACTTCCACATTGTTTTATCAATATAAATGTAAAAAACAAATTAATTCTAGAATAGTTCCGAAGAAATGAGCATTTTTATTAGCTAGAAATGATTCATTTATGATATATATATTATTGAGCTAACACTAACACCATTACATATGACATGCAAATAATAATTTGATCAATCCTTTTTTTTAAAAATAAAAATAAAAAATGAAGTACTTGCAAAAAGTGTGGCATACTAGATAGCAAAAATTAATGGCAAAAAGTAATTTTCTTCTTAATTTTAATAATAATTAAAAAACAAAAACAATAAAATATCAATGACTCTAATCCTACAGTCACATCGATTCTAGCAGCAGCGACTTGAAATAATGAAAAATTAAATGCACAAAATAAGTATGCCTTGACACATTCTAAACTTCAGCCACTACAAAGCACAAATAACTTGAACAAACAATCTGGTAATCTTTTTGATTGATCACAACAATCTAGAATTTCTACACCGAAGTGATAATTTTTATGTAAAATTCAACGAATAATTATCGGTCAGTTAATTTGCAATTTTTATCAACAAAAAAACATTATTACAGAAAGATTATTTGAAAAAATTTGTCACCGATAATTTTTTCGTTAAATCTTTACTATGCAACTACCCAAATGTATAAATACCAAATTACTGAGATTCCAAAAGATCGTGTAACATTCGGAAGACATATACCAAATTTTACCTAAAAATGACTCTAACATCAAGATTCCAAATATCTGATTTAGTAACAGTCTCCATCATGCACTGGAGAAAATGCTATAAATTAACAAATGCTGAATCACTACAGTGCTAACACTAACACTAATTACTACAATTTCCATTGTAATGTTATCAGTGAGTATAAAAATAATCCAAATAGTGAATACATACTTTTAAAGTGATAAGCTTCAACACAATATTCCATGACACAGAAGAGGAAATGAGTGATTTATTCTTTCTGGCATTTTTTTGATGTGAATTTTTATAATGAAACATTATGATGCAAGTTTTTTCCGACAAAACTGCATCAAAACATATCACTGAGAAAACTTTTAATTAGAATTTGGTAGCACAACGATTTTATCAAAGTGATTAAGAAGCAGAAACAGAAGGCTAAAAACATTTATTGAAGTACACTATATTCAAATCTTTTTCAAACCTTTATTTTCAAAATAAAAATTTCTGATTAATAAGGTTTAAAAAAGACATTCATTCATTTAATTCCTAACTCACAAACTAAACAAAAAAGAATAGAATATGATACTTCTAGGTTATAACCGCTTTCCTGCAAATATCTTAATCATAATATGATCAATTTTCTGATCCACAGTGATTACTTCCCTTACATCGATAATTTTGACCTGAGAAATGAATTATATCAAACCACAAGTTATTTTTTTCAGTAAATGCAATTTTTACAAAGTAACAATGCGTATAAGTAACAATACTGCTCCTCAATATCATAACAAACTTTCAAAATTTATTTTAAAACTTTGAAAATTTGCATGATTAGTTATCATTATCTATCTGATTGCAAATTTGGAATAACACCTCAGAACTAATCAACATATTTTAAAAATATCATTATGCTTTTCTCTATTGTTTTGGTCACTATTTTTTATCCATAATTCCATTACTATCATGACATTTGCAGCGATGTCTTCATCTTGACGATGCCAATAACATTACCATTTTTTGCAGTTTGGTATTACAACTGCAAGAAAATATTTAAAAAAACCTGCTGAAAATATCCATAATTTGGTTTTTATGGAAATATCTTTATCACATAAAGAAAATATGCAAGCTAAAATACAAAAAAAAAAGAAGAATGAGCATAGTTTCCATCAGCTTGATGTAATACAGCAATTCTAAATAAATGAAATTTCCATTAATTTATTTGCTTCATTTTCTTGCGAAGGACACATAGAAATGTCCATTTCAAAGTCAAATATATCATTTAAAAAACTGTTAATCAAAGTGGAGATATCAGTTTTGAACTGTTATAGATTGAAAAATTTCACATACTTTTCTCTTTTTAAAAGTTTCAAAATATTTTTTTGAAGCGTAGAAAAATATAAAACAAAAGTTGTCGCTCTCATTGATGATATCGTTATTATTAGTTATCTAAAAACTCGCAGAAACTATATACGAATAATATCACTATTATTATTACGCAGAATAAATTTTACAAAACGAATAATTTTATAGAAAAGTTATCGCCATCAATAAATTTCTGTAAGCTAATACAATGAATGTGCTATACAAAAATATATGCAGAAATTTCTTTAAAAAAAAACTTCAATCAGATGAGAAAAGTATTCAGTAATGTGGTAAATTACGAATGGAAAAAGGAACAAAATTGGTGTAAAGTATTATTTTATTAATCTAAATGCAGCCAATAGATGTCTTACTTTCACTTCTTATCTACGATAAAAAATGGAAGCAACGTTCCATACTATAACAGATGAGAAACATATTTTTAAATAAAGGCATTAAAAAAAGTTGAAACATTCTCTAAAAGTTAATCAAGAAGTATTCACTTTAAAGTAAAAAAGCTGCAATCAAAGTTTAACAAAAAATATTTTCTCAGAAAAATTTTATGTAATTATACAAAAGAATAGTAACCAGGTCAAAATTAAACATGCATGCATCATCATCCAACTACAAAAATAAACATTACAATACTATATACAAATTTATCCATTCTTTTCGTGGACAGGTGGAAGTTGAATATCAAAAAATATGACGACGAGAAAGAATCTGAAATATACAAACTTTTATGCTCATGTCTATGCACATTCCAATAATTATATTGAATAATAAAAAAAACATTCTTGTTTCTTTCTATAAAAGTAAATGTAATAAAAAATAGTAATTACACATATACTTTTTAAAAATTTACAAAAAAGCATGGAAAATGCAGCATCTTTTATCGCTTTCAGTTGCAAACTTGTAACCAAAATTTAGATTTAATAATCATTTCTCTTCTTCAGTATTGAGATCAAAAATCAAAATATGCAATAAAATGATCAAGACTAACAAATCATCACGATATTTAAATAAATATTAATAAATAAACTGATATAAAGCACAATCATTACCACATAATACACAACAAAAATATCATAACCTATCAACTATTAGTAAAAAAAATACAAACAAAAAGTGAAATGACATTATTAATCAATCAATCACAAACACCCGAACAACGACAAAAAATGCAGCAAGAAAAATTGGAAAAAATCAAAATGATACTTTGAGTATTACTTAGCAATATTATACACGTTATTCAATAAATTCACTTACTATTACTAGTTTCACTGTCAACGTTATTATTATTGTAATTATTAATATTATTAATACTATTATCGTAATTACTGTTATCATCTAGTAAAGCATGATAACATATATATAATAAATTTTTTCATAGCCTTCCTAAATAAAACTTCAGCAAAAGTTTAGAATCTAAAATTTCTCTATTTAGTGAGATCTAAATATTTTAAAAAACTGAATAGGTGTTAAGAATGGAATAGGAAATTAAAAGTGAGCTCGTAATTAAATACTTAATCGTTTCATGTATCTAATTCTATTCTGTTTTGTACACTCTCTAAATGCTAACAGAAGTGCAATGATGGACAAGTTTGTTAAAAGGCATAAAAAAGCATTTCTTTCTCAAACAAAATTAGTTAATAGCAGTGAATGATAACAAAAATGGAAAGTTACAATATTTATCTTTCCTATTGCTAATTTTTACTTCAAAACTAATCCCACATTAAAAGCCAAAGTCAAAGTTCAAGCACGAACCAGCTGTCACCTTGCTGAACTCACCCACCACAAATTAGCTAAATTGACTCAACTTTTGCACATACGTTTCGCACCCCGAAAAATACTTTTTCACTCTCTTCCATCTTTTATATTATCTTTTCTTTTTTCTCTCTTTTTCTGCCACTCTTCTTAGTCATTAGTGTTTGAGATTGATTTTTTAATAGCAGTTACAAATTCCTTCACTTGTCTCATAAATCTTATATTAAAAACTTCCTTATCAACGATTATCACTTGCTATCACGGTTTTAGTCCTGTCGACGCTTATTATCGCAATATCGGCTCCTATACACTTCATAGTTTACTTGTTTACTGAAGCCTTATTTTAAACTAGTGTCTACTTTTTACGTTCTACTTCACTAATAGCGATGAAATCCTATAAAAGTGGAAAGTTATTTGAGTACATTAACTTTACACTTTGTACGTTAATTTCGATCTTCCTGAATGTATTTGCTAGGTGCAGATTACTCAGTCAATACTTCACATCTAAGAAGTTTCCAAATACGATCTACTTCTTGTGCAATATATAATTATGTTAATTTCCGTTACACACAATAACGTACTCATAATTGTCATGGCACAAAATGCGAAAAATAACTTAAAGTAATATTTTAAGTGTACCTGTTTAAGTGTACACGTCAGTCCTGTTTTTAACAGACAAAATATTAGTTAGTAGATACGATGAGTAACTTTATGAATTTTTGGCGATATAAAAAAATACTTTCCTATCAAACATAAAACTTTGCTTTAGCTAAAAAATGTAAAGATAAAGGATTGATTTCAAGTATATGACTAGATACTTATTAGTAGGAATATTAATATCTTGGAAAAACTTTTTCATTCTTTTGTTTGATAATAGTAATGATATTATTAGATTCTTTTACACATGCTGGTTAAATTTAATTCATTAAATAGAATCCAAAGCATTTTTATATATTAAAGAATCAAGTATTTTGTCGAACATATAAGTACTTCAAGTACTTGAAACTACTTTATTTGTCTTGAATTTGACTTAATTATCATGTTCATAATACTTGATAAATCAAAAGACAGATCAAAATCATGATTGAAATCATGATCGTAAAATAAGTAACTTATCAAATGTAGCCTTTAATAAAACAAAATTCTTCTCACTTTTTAGACATAATTGGTTTTTTTAGATATTTTTCACAGCAGTTTTAATTATAACATAGAACAGTTTTTTTCTAAAGCTGTTATTACTTTGATATTTGACAAATGCAAACAAAGGAACGAAAAAAAATTATGAAAAAACATACTTCAAGAAAAATAAAATATGGAATTAAAAAAGTGCTTTCTAGCAATACAAAGAGTGTTTTAAAACACTTTACTCAGTTCTACTATTTTTGATAATATTTTTTCAATTATATACTCTATCAGTAGTGTTTGTGAATATTTTTTAGAAGTAACTACTTTTCTGTGTTTTATTTTGATTACTTTTGCTATCGTCAATGTCCACCACTTTTATATTGCAAGTTAATTCAGGCGTTTCTCCGTATGCTTAGAATTTATTTCTCTTTCTGATGGTAAAATAAGATAAGTAAATTCTATCAGTAATAAAATGTAAAAACAGCAATGTTGTAGATCAAAACTCTAAAATACACACAGATCTTACATCACTTTGAACAGTAAATAGAAAATGTACCACCGTTTTAAGCAGCAGTAATTTGCATTAATAAAATAATTTATTGAATAATGGTATAGTAGTATATAGTAGTATAAGTAGTATTAAATTAAAGCAAAAATTTTAAAAAATTTTTTCGAATTAAAAAATAGCTTTGGAAGGAATAAAATAAATTAATTCGCATTTTATGCCTCTTTTTTCAGATGGGAATTTAAAAAAATTGTTTTCAAGTAATGAATTATGTAACTCTTTCAACTAGCATTTCACCTCTGAAATTTGATTTATTCTCTTTTTTAATTCCAAAAAATATTGATATTCTCTTTTTTAAGCCTAAAAAACATTCATAAATATGATCAAAAGTTGAATATATGCAAATTATCTCTATAAAGTACTTAAGCCATTACATGAACAATTACAACTACTTATCAAGCAAATTTTTATGCCTATTAAGCAAGTATCAAGAAGTGCAGTAAGGAAGTAGGGTCAAATATAATAAAAGAAGATAGAAATCACTTCTAACTACAGCCTCTAGCTAATGTCAAGATCGCGATCTTGACGACCTTTCATAAAAGTAAATTATCCTAGAACTGTCGAAGTATTCGTGTTATTTTCATATTTCCTAACAGCTTGTCAGATGAAAAAATTACTCATTAGATCAATGAGGAGCAGATAGTATAATATGTCAGAAACGAATATGGATAAAGACACGAAGTGAGAGTTCTAAATTTTCGAAAGTTTATCATAAAAGGACAGTAAAAAATTTTCATTTATTCCATATATTTCGTTAATTTTGATTTATAAAAATTCAGATAAAAAAGTAAAAACAATTTTATAACTTCAGGGTAATAAAAATTTGCTGTAATAAGATCATTTTGTTATCAAAAAACAGTCCCTTATTTTGATATTCAGATTTAGTGGTAAACTGACGGTGTTTTAATATTTAAAAAGAATGATAAAAAATATAATGTAAGCAAGAAAATGAAAACTAACACTCACAAAAGTTGGAGAACATTGATATAAAAATACTGCTGCAAATTATTTACTTTGTGTTAGTGTAGTACTAATTTTCTATATAGATGGAAAATGGTATTGCTTGGATTACATAGTTTTTTCCCCTTTTTATTGACATTGTATTTTAGGTCATCAGTGATCTGAAATATGATAAGATTTCAATAACATAAATCAAGCAGATATTTGAAGTAATGTGATTATGACAAATGTAGCGAAATATTTTTTAATTACATAATTTATTCCAAAAGTTCTATGGTATCCATGACGTAGATTTCCTTGGTGTCTATGCAAATTTTCCGCCTGATAAAAAAACATTAATCAAAAATTCTCGACTGACATTTTACAAATACTATAAAATTTATAAATAGCATATAATGCAGATGAATATTCTCGCGTAGACAAAAATGAACGACTTCTGTTTCAATTTTGGAGTTCTATACAAGTCAACTACCTCAGTATTCGAATTTTAAACTAAATGTTAAAAATATTGCATGAAAATAATATTTCTGCTTACTTTTATTTAAATAAATATCTGTATTAACATTTATAAACCAAAATTCATGCGAAGTATAAAAGCATGTTAAAAACGTAAATTGAAAAAGTTTGCATAAATCAAAATACGCTGCTCTGATTGTACAAAGTGGCATTGTAAATAAATATAATAGATAAATAACTCGATGGATTACAAGCATACAAACAGATGGATATTCAAATAGATTCAACTGATTGCCTTATCCTACTTTTAGCCTTTCATCTTTCAATATGTTCGCGTAATTCAATGCATGTATTCTTCCTATCAATTCCAAGTGATTAATGATTCACTCTCTTTCAGGGTTATATTAAAACTTTAAAAAAAAAGAAGTAGCTCCAAATTATCTATTACTCAATTATTTTCATGACTGTTATAACTAGTATAGCTTCCAAAAACTAGATTTTAGCTATTTTTACGCAGGGAACGTCGAATGATTAACGAGAGTCGATATCTTACACACTTCTTTGATGTTCATTCAAATAAAAATATCAAAATGTGTTATCAAACAACACATGATTGACACTTTTCACATAGTGAAACTGAATGCAAAATTTTTAATTAGCATCCATACCTGATAGTAAATTTTATATACCTAAGAAGTTACTTGTTATCGAAGAACTACACAAATTTTTACACAAACAAAATTGTAAATAAAAAACTGGCAAAGTAAACATGAAATTAACGAGCAACACCTGAGTTGGAAAACGAAAATTAACTTAACAATTCTGAATAACCCTTAAATTACTGCACACATTCAATCATAACCATGAGCAGTCCTATGAAGCTACAAAAAGATTTGTCGATCAAGATGCCCTGAACGATTGATTCATTATTTGCTCGGGAGTAAAATAATTAGACAAAAAATATTTGGTGAGCATTAATATGAATTATATCAAAATTCAAATGTACCTTTTCTCTAATATATTATTAAAAAGTGCAAAAGAAGTGAATATAAATAAAATCCTTTTACAGTAAAAACCTGTAATAACTGTTAGAATCTTGTTTAGAATAAAGCACAATAGGAGATGAATTTCTGGGTTGAAATAATGGTTCAATAACTTCTTCTATTCGCTTAAATTCTTTTTTGAATCTGTTCATCTGCTTCATAGCAATTGAAAGAGCATTTGATAGTTCAACTACAGTAAAAGTGCGATCAATTAGAGATACAAGCAAACGTATTGCATCTGATGAGATATCTGTGACAACAACCTCAATTACTGTTTGAGGTGAAAATGCAGCAACCGCTTTCTGTAAACAGGTACGAATTTGGACCTGAAAAAGAAAGAATCTTTCCAAAAATAAAAATCTAAATGATCGAAACAGATCTGCAACTGCGAATAATTACCTCATTCCTTTTTCGAATATAAGCCACAGGTTTATCAGTCACAGCATAGCGTATACTGAGATTAGCAACGGCTGCTGCTGGTGATACATTAACAATTTGTTTAATTGGTGAAGTCGAAATCTGAGTACTTGAGCATGTTTCTATTAAGCACGAATCAATAGATAATGTCTCCAGTTTGCATAACACTTCATCAAACGTAAGCTTTCCCAAATCAACGCCTCCAACACGGGTTAATACCTCATCTTCTCCATAGACTACCAATAAAACCTCAATGTTATTTTCGTTTGAGTGTTCCTATAATAATTTATATTTGACCAAAACCACTATGCACACCATCGCTCTTGCCAAAAATACACTTTTTAATTCGATGAAATTCTGTAAGTAATTTTTTTTCTATGTATCAAACAAAACATGAAAAAGTTAAAGCACGAAAGAAAACACCAATTTTGAAAGTTAAGCCGTTGATGCGAAAAACTTTAGTAATTTACAATGAGTTCGACCATCTGCATCGGCACAACTGGATCATGCAGAACATCTGTCTGGATTCTACGTAACCACATTTGTTTCACCAAATTTCCAGTTGCTTTTAACAGCCGATCAGCAGTTAAACAAACCAATGCGCGATGACATAAAGGTTCGAAATCTAATATTTTAAACATCATAAAAAATTTTTTACATCAGATGAAACCAGAATCATCAACTTCAGGATCCAAAACAAACACATATAATAAAAATACATTTAAATTTCAATTGCTATGAAATTTAGGATTTGACTACAGAATTGAAATAAGTGTGCTGAGAAAATATTCTTGTTAAATAATCAAGTTCATGATAATATGATATTTAAGGACTTCGAGGTAAAAGGAAATTACTTGGTGTATCTGTGCAGCAAAGCTGAGCAAGAACATCAAGCGATAAACTACATCCTACTGCACTTAATGGTTTTGGAGGAATAGGGTCCTGTGCATGACGCTCCTCTTCCAACAAGTTATCATATCGACCTATAAATGAATAGTATTTTTTAGCTTAAAATAATTACATGAAAATCAATAACATCATGTTGAGAACTCATTTACTTACCTCCTGCTCCAACTACAACTGGCCGCATAGTTTTCTTATGAAAAAAAAGAACCCGAAATTGAAAGACGAGACCACTAGAATAAGTTTGTGGTCGATAGCAAAGACTACCATCAAATAAAATATGTCCGGTTATATCACCTAAAATGAACACCAACAACTGTTAACACTTCAAAGTCTATTATGCAATCCATATTTGAGAAGTCAAGCGTTATTTTACTCTTTCTAAGTCTTTCAGAATGTTTGATTACAAACTATTTTGTGCTTGATTGAAAACTAAAATTGCAAATAATTTAAAAACTATACAAACATGAAGAAGAACAAAGATTTAGATTACAAAACGTGGCGCATGTGGACAAATTTAACAAAGATTACAATTTTTATTATTTACCAGCAAAACATTCCAACAACAGGGTCAGATCTCCAAACTCCTTGAGAGCTCCCTCAGCATACTTTCGAACTCGATCGTCTCTACTATTTAGTAAACATTCTATCTTTTTTGTTAGACTTTCCAATGTAAGGTCCCCTTCTAGCACACTGAACAACGACTTGGCTTGATAAAAAGACATTTCTGTGCCAACTCTAAGTCGCTCAATCTTTTGTTCGCGAGTTAGTACTTCTGAAATTTAACTTCAAATCAATGTTTTACAGTAACTTCAAAACCTGACCAACCAAATTTTACATAGTTTGCGCAGACATAATCCTTAGAACTAGATATTTTCCTACTACTCAAATCTAGCTTTTTAACTTCCCATCATCATCAATCTTCCCACACTGTGCCTAGTCCCTATTATATCAAAATCAGTCTCTCAAATGCAATGCATACTTTTTTGGATAAGTTGCATTGCTATTAGGTACTTCTACATCAATTAAAAGTAGGATTCTTTAAATGAACCCAAAAATTATACAGAAAAATGGTAATGCTTACTATTAGACATTGCAATAGCATAAAGAATATCCAGTATTTTATTTTGTGCACCAAAATCACTAAAACCGAGATACAAAGCGGTTGCAAGAATTAAATCACGATGCCCTAATCGGATTTCCCATTTTCGTGATGATAAGCAATCAAGCTGTCGGGCTATTTCAACCATAACGCAAAGTATATCAGTAGTAAGCATCCTAGATGAACTTACCGGTCCAACCGCATCTATAGCGAATTCAACTCGCTCAGCAGGATGAATTCCACCTACAAGATTTTATGCATAATGTTTGTATGATGATTATTAAAACTATATATTCGTATGGCAATAAATTTTTAACATATCTGAATTCGAAAGTCCTACCAAGAGCATCTGAACGACCAAAAACTTTGCCATAGCTATAACGTTTTAAGCGATTTACTCCATTACGGACGCAGTATCGTGCGAAGTTCCGTCTCAAGTCATGCTGAAATTTAAATATTATTGATCCTACGATTTTACTGAAAGTTAACATTTAAGCGTCAAATAAACAAAGAACTAAGCATAATAGTCTTAATAAATTGAGATATTCATCATTTCTGCCAAAATGATGACAGTTCGCTTAAAAATGTCTAACAAACTGTGTTATGCTAAATCATCACTCCTAAAATTTAAGAATAATATCACACCGCTAACATTATCGTGATTCCATTTTCATCAATAAAACGACATGCACGAGACTTCGAATTTTTCATTTCATCCGATCTTTTTGCGCTGAATGGTGTCAACGAATGTACATCAAATGGAATAAAAGCATGCGTTGAACAAATGCCACATAATTTATTGCTTGTATATTCTAAAGCAAACAACCTTGGTAACGTCAGCCGATCCTAAACATTTATAATTAAATTTCTAACCTAATAAGTTGAATTAATAGACTTTTAATTGAAGGAGCAATGGCATATAAAAATGTCAGGCGTTGCTTCTTAGATAACAGTGTAAAAAGTTGATATTATGTGTTTTCATCGAGGTAAAAAACAGCTCTTACACTGGAACAAATATTTCGGTCATACAGGTAGTCCGCAGCTGGTGGGACTGGATTAGCGACCAACTTCTCCATCATCCAATGATGTAAGCGCCCACCAGTACGAATAGCTCGATAAAACATTTTCTAAAATGGTGAAAAAATTAAATAAGAAAAATACATACAGAAAGTGATATTTGTTGATGAAATTAATACAAATCTTCACTATTTTCCCTGAATAAAACAACGGCAATGAATCCTCCAAAACTGTATAAAAGGGAATAAATTTAAGCTTACTTGGAAATCATCATCTTCAATCTCTGCCACCGGGACACGATCACTCTCTAAAAGATTTTGTATCGAGGGCCGATCATCTGGTTGCATTTCTAACATCCATTTGATTATTTTTTTAGAAGCCTTCTGATGGACCTATAAGATTCAAAGTGAATGTACTTTATTTAAATATATCAATGACTGCCAATCATTAACGTATCATACCTCCAAAATTCCACTTCCAAAATCTAAAGGGAAAAGACCGGAGTTACGCAAATTTCTGATTGTTACAATTCTCTCCATACCAGGTAAAAGAGGCCTATAGAACATTTCGAACAATACTATACCCAGACTGAAAAAAACAACTAGTAAATATATTAATTAAACAGCACGTCATTGGAAGTGAAACTCCAGGAAATCAAATTTTCAACACCTGTACACATCGATCTTTGTCGTGTACTCAACATCATCATTACACGTAGAAAGTAATTCCGGAGCAATGTAAAAAGCAGTGCCAATATCTTTTGTCATCGAAGAGCTGATATCAGGTTCACTTAATGGAGCCATATTTTTGGCCAGCACATCACGAGTTGCAAGACCGAAATCCCCAATTTTTGCATGGTCATTGCCATCTATCAATATATTCATCTACAACATCGATCATACAAAATATATAAATTTTTCTGCGATATTCAACCTCTATTTTAATAGTATTCAATCATTATTTAGACTTCACAAAAACCAATCTTGAATTACTGTTGCAAAATATAGTATATAACAGTGATAATTTTGTAAAAGAAATATAGGTGAGAACATAGCGGACAATGTGGAGAGAAACCTATAACAAGAAAAAGAAATGAGATATGATGCTTAGTGACACAACAATTTCCAGAATAAAAATGTTAGCATTTTCCTAGATCACTTTTCAGCATGGTTATGGAAAACTTCATCACTCAACAAGATATGCCACATACATAATAAAATATCAAGCGCAAGTCCCAAAAATTTCTGTTACAAATCTGAACTAATTAAAAATAACTTTTGACTTTTCTATATTTAGAATCTCAACAACAAGAAAAATAAAAATTCTAACCGGTTTGATATCACGATGAATCATGCCTTCTTGATGAATGTACTGCAACCCAAGTAATATTTCGCGAAAAAGACGCCACACTTGCCTTGAATTCTTTAGTAATTTATTACTATCTATCAGATTACGCAACGTAGATTTTTCGCAATATTCCATCTGAATAAATAAAATCCTTAGCGGCAGTTCAGGTGCAGCATCTAGCGTATTAGATGGTGAGGTTGATGAATATGAATTACCATCATGCTCATCAACCAGATCATCATTGTCCTCGTCGCTTCCAAAAACAACTTCCTGAAAGTGATCGCATGAGCATGAATAAAATAATACTTTAACGAAGTTTAAAAAGTAGTCGATTCGCAGTAAAGCTAACAAAGTCAGAGCTTTGATCAGTAGCTGGAAAAATATTTGAGAACAAAGTCTGTATAGGCCCAGTATATTGTTTTTCCGAAAAAGATTCTGAATTATAAGTAGAAGCAGGCTGGAAAGACGTTGACCATTCAGCAGTCGTATCCATGACATAACGTTTCGCTTCTTTCTCTATATTTTTTGTTTGCAAAGGCATCAAGGAATCTGAAAAACAACTAGAATTAATAATTAAAAAACTTCACTTTATTTTTTCACTTATCCTGTTAAGAAATTATTACAAAAACAAATCAAACGAGTTCTAAAAAAAAATTTCGATACTGACCATTGTGAACTGTTTATGCATAAAAAGAAAATTAGAAAAGGAAATGTCAAAGATATGCCAAAATTTATAATTTCACATCAAATATAGCTCATAGATCAACTAAACAATTAAACTACGTAATTCTAGAAAAATACCACCACTTTCTTTTCCTGGATCAGCCATGCCTTTTGCACTATTTTCCGGTTCATCTTTACTAGAGGTAACACAAGCCTGTTCAATCCATGCACTATAGTAACGAACAACGTTAGGATGGCTTAATTTCGAAAACAACTTAGCTTCCCGCGTTACTTTTCTGCTGAATCGCTCGTCTTTTGGATCTAAACATATCCGTTTGATAGCATAATTATTACCATCTAGTTTGTTCCTGAAAAAACTATACATTACTAGGCGGATCAAGCTTTTTTTCATTTCCGTATTGAAAAATAAATGCAATCAATACCGTACAGCAAATTATATTAATAACTACTACAATGGTATTTTTTATAACTTGTTATAAGCATAATATTTAAGTACCTTTAAGATATAGTTTTATGCTCATCAGGAAGGAACAAAAATTTAAACAGATTAACAGTATAGCAATTTATAATTAAGCTTACTTTGCTAACATAACATCCCCAAAACCACCTTTTCCTAACATTTCCATAAAAACAAATTCATTTCGCAATCTACCGTGGGCAACCTGCTGAAATCCAGCACTCTTAAAATTGATGGGTGGCAACAATGACCGCAGTAGATCTATAAGAAATTCTCAATATATTTTTCATACCAGCAAATCTTCAAAATCATTTGTCTGCAATGACTAAATAAATAATGCAAACCTTGGTGCAAAAAACGATGATCCATAAGACTTTTTATAGTTTGTGAATTTTTACAATTTTCTACAAAGCTGTCGAGGCTTTTAGAGAAATAAGAACTTTTTGTGACTGATGAAAGCATTCTCAATCTGTTAAAAATAGATCCGACTGCTTTTATATCATCAATGAGTGATTTCTGGAATACATGTGATGACAGTATGTTTGGAACATCATCACCAATACATTCTTTTAACTTTCGGTACTGACCTATCAATAACGACCTAAAATAAAATTTCAAAAGTATCACCACTCCAGTGCTTTTTAAAAGTAAGTTCATTATTGATACAGAAATGTTGGGGGCACCAAGTACTGCTGTACTCATACTGATGTCAATGGCAGCATTATTATGATGAACAAATTGTATCATGCATCTTATATACATTTCATCCTGTATACAGAGCTATGATTACTACTACTATCAGTAATAATGTACCTCAAGTAATAATCAGAAATGACGAAGTTCCGTTTCCCAGTAATCCATATAGATGTGGAATCAAGATCAAAGTGTCCTAAGTTTATTTCATGTAAAAATTCCAAGCCTTTCAAAAGTTGTAGAGCCAAGCGAACTAAGAGCGCCTGAAAATCAGAAAATTATTGCTGTGCCTTCTACATAAATCACAGACTGAAAAAGGAATGCAAATTTCATAAAATTATAGTAAAATTCAAAAAAAAATTAAACTAATAAAATACCGTGATAAAGAAAAGGTGAATATTACAATACTGTAACACAAAAATTTTTTAATGATAGTTTTCTTTACCTTATCTGTTTCAAACATATCAAATTGAGAAGATATGTTCCGATCGCTTTCAGTAATATTTTGACCAATGAAAATACTGTAATGATACCTTGGAAAGCCATTTCATTTGATATTTCAAGCATTTCAAGGGACATATTGAAGTAAATAAATAATACCTAAAGCATTCTTTTTTTTTGCTGTAACCCAGTGCTGAAAAATCACGTAAAAATAAGAGCAACTAAATAACTGTAAAAACTCACCGAACATCAATTTCTGATGCTGTCAATTTCCTTTTTTGAATGCAAAGCAATTCATATTTACATAATGTCGGCTCGGAAACAGACAACTGAGAAATTTTTTTTAGTTCTTTTTCCAGCAGCTTAAAATGATTAATGAATGCTTTCAATGATGAGGTTTTGGTTTTCGTTGTTGCAACAAAAGTCCACTCACTAATGAGAAGTTCTTGATTCTGAAAAGTCAACGCACAATTTTTTGTCAAGTGCGAATGTACAGTAAATAAACAACGAGCATAATTATACATAAATATGTAAACACAAAGAAAACCAAGTTAAATACTCGACGACTATCCACGCACAAAAATCAATACATTCGCAGTTGACAAAAAATACGACAGAAACATCAAAATTCAATTTCTAACAGAGTTTTTGTCAACAATACTAGCTTGCTAAAGACATTTCTTTTGTCTCTGATATTTATCCGCTTTAACTGCTGTTGACATCATAAATCCATATTACAATGATTTCATATCGTTACAAAAAAAAATCTAACACAAGTTTCTTTTATTTTTTGGTAACTTCTGGCTTTTAAAGAGCCCTCTACTTTCTGACTTTTTTGTGTGCTTTTGTAGACTTCATAGAACGAAAAATGTTATTTGTTCAAATGAATGTATTCATTTAGGCGCGTAAAGTTAGGTATTTAACTTCATTTTTTTCATATTTATGTGTGACTGTCTCTGTTATTTATTTACCTTAGAAAATGACAAACACAAGTTACCGTGGTACAATCCATAGCTGACCATTCTCGACAACAAAGATTATTTAAAGGTCGTTTTTGAAATTTGCAAGCGATTCTAGCCAGACTTCGTTGCATACCATCGAGGCAAGAGAACGTTGCACAAAACTTATCATCAACCGGTGTTGTTGGTTCACATTCTTCAGCTTCTTTCCACATCAGTTTTTCTTCACGCATTCTTTGAAATGCTACAACATCTTCACGATCTTGCTGCTCAGATTTCATTCGCTGTCTCTGAAATGTCAACAGTGAATAAACTCCGAATGTATTGAACTTCTAAATATAAAAAAATTACTGTAACTGCTCTGAGATCAGAACCTTTCGTTCAGATTCGACTGCTGCTTGCTGCTGTAACATGCCATCGAAAAAGGACCCTTCCGGTGGTTTATTGTGTTCATACAAAAACTCTTGAACTAGCTGACAGAGTTCCAAAATAATTTCCTGAAAAATATGAACTGAGTTCACAGTCGTCTACATACATAATTTGAATCCTGCTCGCATTACGCAATGTAAACAATGACATGCTTAATTCATTAATATGCATTCCTTACGTTGCCTTTAAGAGATGACGCCTTATTCAGCAATATCTGCTTCAGTTTTTCGACATCCTTCAACGAAATACCCCTCACGTTTTCAAGTTCAATATCAGGTATCCTAAAACATGAATAGAAATACAAATGAAAAATGGAAAACGCTATGGGAGAATGAATTCATTTTCTAAAAATTTATTAGATGAAAATAACAAAAAATTTTAAGTGCCTGTCACTAATCGAAAAATCAGGAAAATTTTTATCAAACGAAATTTGATAAGCATTGTATATAACTTTTACAAAGGTCGAATTAAAAATATCATGAACTGCAACCAAAAGAGCTTAATAAGAAGTATATACTAAAATATTTATTTTGGTTAGAGTTCATTAAAGAATGAAGTACTAGTATACAAAAACATACCCAGATAACGGATACGTCCTTGGGCACTTCACGTGAAGATCTACTGACACATAAATTTTATCATGAGTCACACTAGCAGAATCCACTGGCTTAAGATGCAAGATTACATTAAGCGGTTGCCATATCTGCAACTCAATTACCTCTTTCATTTATTGACATCAAACAAGAGTACAGAAACTGAAATAAGTCTTACTAACTAGAACACTTAATAATAGAATTTACAAAAACTCAAGACGCAGTTGCTATAGATATTCATTGACAGATTATAATGGAACTAGTCATCAAAAATTGTTCAAACATGAACATGTAATAAGCTGATAAGTTTAAATAATTAATCAATAAAACAAACCTTCCAGACATTTTTGGCCGCATCAATAAGGTCTTCAGCAAATATAGATCTCAAAACAATGAATTCATCTTCTTGCCGTTTCTTGGATTCAGCTTCTAAAATTCCCTTGTCATTGGCTATTACATCAGAGCACTTTTGTTGTTTCTTCATCGGTTCACAATTTCAAAACAAATTTCAACAATTTTTTTCCTTCATCAATCTGTAAAATTACAACAATATAGTGGCAATCAGTAATCATAAGCACAATATGGAAAACTATGGAACTAATGATTACAAGTATGAAAGTAAGTCAAACATAAATTGTAGAAATGATATTGGTAATTATATGTGCTTTGATATAATTAATAAATGCTAGTAAATATTTCGCAGTACTCTCAGTTCTTCAATTACTTGCATTTTCATTTCTCTAACACATTATGCATCACTTAAAGCCGTTTCACGCACTAATCACATCTTTAACTTATTCGTCAACCTTATTTATTTATAAGTAATTTTATCAAAGTTTTTAATCTTCAATGCAAATTATCAGTGCAAAAAACAGAAGAGATTGAAAAATTGCTGAAAGTAACAAAACTAAATTCCTAATATTTTTCCTCTTCTGATGAATAACAAGCTTTAAGAATTATAAATGCTAGCAAACATATTGCATTATTCCCAGTTTTTCAACTACTTGCATTTGCAAAGAATAATACACCTGAAGTAATTAGTAATTTCAAGTAATGGTATTAACGTGTAGTCTTATTTCACTTATTATGACATATACAATTGCATAGTGAGTAAATATCTCGCTGGATAACTAGTGATTTAATGGAGTGGTTTATAAATGAGTGGTTCTTAAATGATTTTTCGAGCAGAATATGATGAAAGATCTGGGTGTATTGTTGGTGATCGGTCGTTTACTGTTTCTTAGAGATTGATTATTCCAAGTTTCAGTTGTAAATTTAGACCAGCACTATTAAGGTGGACTAAAACATGCTATTTTTCGAAAATACAAGTTAACACATGATCTAGTATCAAAAACTTTGTCTGCTTTACTACAAAATTCTTCCCGTTGTTGAAAATGTTGAAATTCACTATTTTTTTAGTGCACAATATGCTGAAATCTTAAGTTTTGAAGACAGTTTTCATTTTGATGACATAAAATTATCAAATGTAGTCATTTTTGTACTGCGGAATCACTTTTGCAACCTTATCTCACTGATCGTCCCATATGTTATCATATCACATTTCTTTGTAGTCAATGAGCGAAAATTGGCATATTCTTATGATTTATAAGAAGATGCGATGGGTGTAATTGCAACTTATAACAAGGAACAAGTAACAGGTGAGATGACGACCAATAAACCAAAAGAACGACAGTTTCAGGTAATGCAGTCAATATAAAGAGAATTTTCACTGGCCGTTTTAACGAAATCTTATCGGATAAATGTGTTTCAAGGGTTTTCAGTTTTTTAGCTTGTTCCTGTTCCTGGGACTTTTACGCGTGGACGTTGGAAGTGTTGGGATTACAAAGACAAATCATCAGAGACTCCAAAAATAATCGATTTCACTGATAAATCTGAAAAACATTCAGGATGTATGTTAATTTCGTGATAAGTGTGTTTTTTTAGTACTTTTTTTGTGATGAAAGATGGGCCTTCACATTTTTGAATTATCTTGATGTAATCATGATAAATGTATTTGGCAGTGATTGGAAGTTTGAAAAGAAAAGTGAAATTTGATGATTATCGGGACTTCGTCTGTAAGGTATTTAGCAAATTAAAATTCTATTGCCGAATGATTGTTCAGGAATAGCCTTTTGGCATAATTTTAAATATGTAATGTCTATTTGATTTTGATAGTCACATATTTTTCAGCAATCGTTATTGGAGACAGCTCACTTGGACATCGTGTTTTTAATTTGGCGCATACAGATGCGACAGCTGAACCAAATTTAATGAAAACAGAGACGAGCATCTCAGGTTTTTGTTTTTAACATACATTTTATTTTTTCAAAATTAAGGTATAATATTTATTGTTGTAGTATGTTAAAAATTACTTCAGTAAGAAGTTAATTCTAAAGTCAATTGCCCTTTAACTTATAAATTTTCTACCGGGTGCATTGCGGTTAGTTTTATTACAACAGTCACAAAATTTTCTTTCTAGCAAAATCGCATCCTATTGATGTGCCAAATCCGATTAAAGAATCTAGTACAATTGTTGTTACATCTATTGCTCCTTCATCAGTTACCCCAGTGAATGGCACTCCATCTTCTCCAAATATTTCTCCTGTAATTATTAATGCAGCTAAAGTTGAAACAAAGGTATTATTTTTTACAGATGATATGGAACTGTGTAATAAAATTAGCATATCAACATCGTTTCAAACTATTGGCATTTAATTATATATCTTAAAATTCTGTGTTTCATGGAAGCTTGAATCTTTAAAAATGTTAGAGCATGTATTAGTTTAGGTTTACGAGTGCTTAAATTAATCAATTTCATTGCTTTTTTAAGCTCTTTGCTTTTATAATTATAAATCACTGAACTCTTAAGATACTACAAGTTTTAATGCTAATATGTATCTCACCTCCGTCTGTTTTGCGTTTTATTGTTCGCTTTGTAGAATATTTAAATACTTCTGTGCAAATCAAATTTTAGGCAAGAAATGTTGCTATTGGTGGTGGTGACAATACTATTGCTCACGAGAAATCATTTCACCAATCAACACCTGCAGCATCCACTCATCTGAAAGCAACTGCAACCGTAACTGCAGGAAACGTAGCACAAGGCTCTCACGTAATCATTAATATATCGGTTTATATGGATTTGAATTGTTTCTCTCATTAACTATGAGGAGGGAAGTTTGACTTGTTAACCAAGTTTTCGATAGTAGCACTGTAATCTCTAAATTTATATTATTACTTATGGTAAAGTGTACCAGTAAGAAATGTACTATGTAAGCGAGGAAACATCAGTTCAGTTCTTGAAATTTTGCAGGAAGCATCAGATTCTAATAGTGTAATGCAGCCATCGTTGTCTTCCGAGACAGTCATTGTAAATGTGCCATCTGCAGCAGCCGAATTTGAAGATTCGTAAGTTGCATAATTTTACATTTGTAGATTGCAGCATGAGATTTCACATTGCCTTGATCTTAATATTTGATATATTTTTGTCTAATCAGGACAGAATTCAACTATATATCAGCAAAAGTCGCTTCATTTATTATTTTTTATCGATTTGAGCTTAGTCATATCATTTATCCGTTTGAACTCATAATTTTCACTTTCATGAATAAAAGCTCATCCAAATTTGTTCCTATTTACTTAGCAAGGTTTCATAGTTCCAGGAATATATTTTATTTGCTAGGAACATTCATGAGTTTTCTAAGCATTTTGAAGTTATATGAAAATGTACTGGTGCCATTATTATTTTCATGCTTGCTAGTATCCCAGAAAACGTTGGTTGCTATTTTTTAAATCAGATATTTACCTACTCAATATAAAGTTGTTGGCAGTACAAATTGAATAGAGATAAAGCTTTATAATTGCCTTTGTCGCCTTTGCTTATTGCTTCTGTGAACTTAATTTTCCTTAACTTTATTTATTTTGAATTTTTTAAATGGTAGAAAGACTAGTTCAAATGTAAGTTATAAACTTTCGTGTAATTTTAGATTTGAAAAAAAGATATGCTTAAAATTTAAACATTGAATTCATGAAGTTAAGTTTTATATTCAATGTTACTACCAGCATTTAAACGGCCTTAATGACTTTTAACATCAAAACTGCTCATTGTGAAGCACAATAGATTGAAATGCATCTCGTGTTTTAGGCATTAGGGAGTGGTTCATTGAGTACTCGAAAAGACATTGTATATTGCATTTAATTTTTTTAAAGGTTAGTTATACGCACTCACCTCTATGAAGCATTTATTTGCGTGATAGCAATTTACTGCAGTAAGTAATGCTCAGTGGCGAAATTTCAAGTGTTGTGCCTAAAAGTTTACTGTTTTTTATAGTAGTTTAGTTCAACCTAACGTATTTTTTAAGTTGCATTGTTATTAAGAAAATCGTATTTGATAAAGCTAAACTAGCAACGTTGGTGATGATTTCTGATTTTATAAAAATTGAGTTGCAAAGTTACGTACTTCAAATTATAGTTTACTGAACATTAGTGATGGTTTTTACACTGTTAATCATGTTGATAGTAAATTTCATAAGACTGGATGTGATATACTGATGTGGACTCTAATTCCATCACACCAGGAAATAGTTCATTTATATCTAATTATGCTTATTCCTAGGATTTTCGAATATGTGTCGAATGTAGGACAGACTAAAAAAATTCTGGTTGAATTTCTATTGCTTCCAACTTTATGTGAAATAAAACGTATTGCTTGATAAAATGGGTTTACCCTGAAAATTCGGCATATAGAGAAAGCGATAGCATTATTTGGAAAATGGAATCAGGAAAAGTAACTGTAGAAAATTAGATAGGACGCAGTTGCATGAATATCAAAAATAGCTGTGCTTGAAAAACTCGTAAATAGTTTTGTGCAGTCCTTTTCATTGCCGAAGATTTGCTAATGTAAGTCAGATTAGCATCATCTGGCTATGGATCTCATCCTTCCATTAGATTGTCCCTTTTTCATTTCATCAAAACAGTTTCAAATACTTTCTGCTTCTAGGTGCAAGTGAAAACAATCAGTGCCTGATTCTATGATTTTGATGAATAAAGATGTAAAAAAAAGCGTGCAGTGATAAAAGCAATAAGGTGTGACGGCATTTGAATAAGTATTTTGTGCGAAGAAAAATTTCCGTGCCAAAGGAGAAATCTCGTGGCTCAATAAGTCATTTATATTGATTTTAGGAGGAAAATGGCATGTGTTCAGGTCTCCGATATGTTTGAACGTTAAACTAGAACTTGTGGGTGAGTACGAAGACTGAGTTTGTACTGAGTCACATTAATTTTTGATTACGCTACTTACCATGGAATTTTTTTATCAAGTTTATTCGTGGAATATTAGTGATACTTGTTGTTGATTTTATGTTACTACTAGTGTTTGGTGATATGAACAGTGGTTTGAATAGTTTGCCGTTTTTTTTGTTGCAAGGAATACAAATTTAATTTATAGATGTGTTTTGTAAAAAAGAAAAGCTTGTGGATTTTTCTAGCAACTTTATCGGCTTTTTAAAATTTGAAAAGAAGAGTATACTTTGACATAATTCTTTAGAAGTTCATAAAGATATTGAGGAAAGAATTTTTGACTGTTTGTCATTAGTTGTTTAATCTTTTCTAATTAAGATATTCTACTGGTAAAGTCTTTTATTTAGTATCAGATATAATTCCATGGTTATAATAGTAATGTTGAGAGGGTGGTATATTGTGAAACTCTAGAATTGAGGTGCAAAAACCTTGGAAAGTCTGTCAAAGTCAATTTTAGTCATTACATGGAAATTATTTGTACTAATGCGCAATCGTTTTTTTCACATCGGAGTTCTACTTCTGAAGTGAATACAATATTGCAAAAATTAGGCCTTTACTCACTGCAAAGAATAAACATATGAGTGGTAGTGGAAGATAGAGGGTGATTGGGGGCTTCGTTCGTCTATGCAATCTATGATTCAGCTAAAGATGTCAGTATTTTAAAAAGAAGAAAAAAATTGATACGAATTCTGTTTACTGTAGCTTTTACTCTATAATTTTCGGCGAAATTGTTAACAATTTAGAAATTTGTGAGAAAAACAAAAGGAAAAAAGATGAAAAACACTTTTACAACTTAGAACAACAATGACGTTTCAAGCGGAGTACTTTTGTGGGATGTTTATTTTTTGCTGTTTATTCATTTTCTACTACCTATGCCCTAAAACACGCTCACTGCGCATTGTTTGTTGTAATTAACAATGATTATCTTGAATACTGTCAAGTTATTTGTTGAGCGCCAAAAGACAACTGGTTTCAGTGGGGGTTTTGGATGAAATTCGAAATTCATTCCTCTAGTGGTGATTTTTATAAATGAATTATGATAATTCAGCAGTCGTGTGCGCTATAAGTACCAAATATGGTAACTATGAAGTTAAAGAAATAGCACAATTAATAATCATATATCTAGTGTCGTTTTTAGTAAATATGAAGAATGCAGGAAAATAGTAATGAATTTGTGAGATTCGTGCTAGTAGAACAACTTTCCAAATATGACAGTAGTTATGGATTGAGATTCATAGCAGGCGTTGTGGGAAGTGATGGAATGGTTCATTTTGTGAAGTTTTTATCTCAATATATTTCATACATGATAGCACTAATTATTCTATCGAAGTGGGTATAAATTGTTCTCTGTACGGAACTAAGTGATTTGTGATAATTCATGAGAGGAGGAAAAAAGTTTAATGTAATGTGATGTGATTTAGAAAGTAAACGGACAAAAGCATGCACACTGGAGATTATGATGTTATGTTTGTTGATATCTAAGAAGTGCATCACTTGTATTTATCTGTTCAGTAGTTGGATTCAATTTTTTAGCAACTGCTATTTTTTATATGTCTTTTAACTATATTTAGATGTAGATGTGCAACAGTGAAAGATTTAAAAAAGTGCAAAATATGTCAAAGGAAAGCATGTTCCATACGTAAGTGATAATGATGCATATTTTGAGTCGAGTGTTTTTCATGTAGACGAGACTGATGTTTGTTTACTTAGAAAATTTATGGAACATTGGTATTCACGAATATGTTGTGGAGTTTTATTTGTGTTGTCTTCGCTGAAGTTTGCTTTTAAGAAATGACATGGAAAGAGAGTACTGCAAATCAAGAAGCAGCACTTATTTTTGCACGCATTCCATTAGCGAGCGTAATACCTCTGAAACAGGGTAGGTAGGAAGGTAGGCAAGATGAATTCAAGTTAAGCAGTATGCAGTATGCAGTATGCACAGCTATTAGTTCTGTCAGGCTTTATCTATTTATTCATTCAATCATCCAATCACTTTGCTCGAAAATCACTGAATATCTGTTTCATTTGTGACAACATCTGAAAAATAGAAAAAATGATGATATGCTAACGGAACGGAAGCAGGTATTGCGGGCATCGATTCACTCTCCGTATGCAGGAATTAGGCAGTTACTTGATCCTGAGGTTGGGGTCAGTAGAGGCTTGGAACAAACATTGCTATGTGTTTTTTAAAGTGAGCATCTTTTGTGTCACATATTGTAAAAAACTTTTCCCTACAAGTATCACTGTCATTCTCACAGTGCAATATTATTTTGTATTGTGATTTGGTTATTGTAAAGTTCTTCCATTCAGTCAAATCATGCATATTAGTATCAACAGTAGCAGATAACGAACGTGTTGGTATTTGAGACAGTGACTTGAAAAGAATAATGAAGAGTGCACTTAAGCTAGCACAACTTTACTTATCTGTCCTGTAGGGCATTTCGATCAATATTGAATTGAATCTGGTTTACGTTGTTGTTGACAGGAATACTGTCTCTGGGAATTTCCTCCAATCGATATGCGAATTTGCCTTCTTGAGTTCGATTTCGTTCTGTTCATCTCGTGCTTATTTATGTTTTGGATTTGCTTACTCTGAACCATGTGAGTAAAAAAGTAAAGAGTTGGCAGTTACTCATACCCTTTCTGTATTTCTGAATGCTTGTCGTATTCAGAAAGTGCACAGCAGGTATGATTGATTGCTGGAGCGACACTCCAACTGCTCTCATTACTGTACTGTACCTGTTATGTACTATTCTTTTTATCAGGAATGGAACAGAATGAGTTGTCAGTTTTTTGCACTTGAGTCAGTGAGAGTAGACCTTTTACGTTGTAGCTACAGCACAGACACATACATGCTCGCTTCTCTCTACTCTCAGGACTACTACTTACCACTTACTTACCTTGCTTTCTTCTTCATCAAATTTTGATAGAAATAAAGGCATTGCATGAGTACTGTTTGCATACATGCGTACCCTTGCTTATCATCTATCAAATCCTCTCATCATTGACTTTTCTAATACTGTCTGTCTGGCTTGCGCTCCCTCCTCTTTCCTTGTCAGCATGCATTCGTTCTAGACTATATGGCGCTTTTTTCTGTGCTAAATTAAGCGCTTAACAGTTGCATCATCGAGATGACGATAAGCAGCAGTCTTCTCCTTTCCTCTTATGAACCAGCTTTTGCTTGTTAATACAAATAGTTTGCTTTTACATCCTTAGCTAACATTTTGCTACTTTCGTCAGCTCTCATTATCTTTGCTCTTTGCTTGCTAGAGGTTTGCGCAGGAGAATCCTCTCAACTAGCTTCTTGCTGAGAAGACGCTTATCGAAGGATCAGTCACTGGATTGTACAAATAGTTTCTTCAAAGTCAACTTTTGCATCTGTTCTTTTTCCTTTCAATTTCTCTGCTAGAGAGGAATTAAAATGCATGAAAATTATATTGTGGACAAAAACTGTCAATCATTCAACCCTACTTTGCGTCATTTCCGTTTTTTCCTTATTGACAAGGAAATCAGTGCCTGCTGCGCATCTGCAATTTTTCCATTCATGCTCATCAATAAATCATAAATTCTACGATAAACTGTTTCATTAGAAAATTGAGGTGTTAAAGGAAGGACTATTGCTATTACTCACTCAATTCTATTTCATCTTTCTCTGCTCATGCAAAAAATATAGAAAAAAATTTTGGTCATTTTTCATTTAAAAAACATCAGATTCATGGGTTCATTAGTGGTCGGTTTTTGAAGTATAGCACATCTAGACTGTTCAACATACGTGCTGCCGCGAAGGGAGTTGAGTAGATGGATGCGCTGAGAGTACGACTTATCGAAATTCGCCCTACGTTCAATTTGATGTGCTAAATAGTAGATTGTAATTGACGTTATGTCGCTTTTCTTCTCGACAAAGTTGATTGCGATTGACTCGTATCGATGGAATCCAGTTATGCAAAGAAAAATGTAATGCAGAAGTACTAAAGACATCTATAAAATTTGCGAGGATAAACTGTTTCCAGGTTTTATTCTTAATTCCTTTCTTCCATTCTTTAGCCTTGATGCCTTGATTACCTTCATTCTGAATGATTTTGTTTATTAGCATATGTTTTCATTATGAAAACTTCTATCCATTGTGTAAGTTGCGAAAGTTGCAGTGAGAAAGTTGTGTCAAGATATCTTTTTGGAATGCTTCAATATGAACATTATTTATAAAGCTATATGACTATAGTTAGTTTTAATAAATTTGCTGCTGCGGCACGTTTGTGCAAAAACGTAACACTATGAACGATTGACTGCATAGTTTTCTGATTTTTAGTTAGTTTGAGTATTGAATGAGGGGATAGTCGTTTGGAATGTAATAGATATTACATTATAAAAATAAGAGGTTTAATTTGCTCTTTATGTCGCGATAGTAGCGACAACATTTGGGGTTAGATGATTGATGCGGATGTTGAATACAAATTTATTTGCATAATTGTTATCGAAGTAGGTATGCATACTAATAGTGTGCTTACTGTTATTGCTAGAAAGGAAGCTCCACAAACACTCATCTCATGCGATTTTTTCCGTATCCTGCTTTTGGCATTGTTTGCACAGGACTGTTTCTGTTGCAGATCTGTCTCCTTTTGCCTTTTGCCTTTGGTACATTTGTTTTGCAGTGATCAAAAATAGGAGTACCTATCAGCTTGCCGTAATCGTTTCAGGAGATAAGTACTTTTGACCATTACTCATTCCTTCATATTTCGTAAATAGGTGCAGAGAGATGTAGTAGTAATAATAGTTTGTGAAATTATTGAATTTTTTCCGTCAGCTGCTTTCGGAGGCGTATGGCTTGACGATGAGTGAAGATGTTGATAATAAGGATGGGTTCACATGAAGTATCTTCTCGTGATCAAAACATGATCAACTTCGTTCAACCAACTATGGGAGATACACTTAAACTTCTCAACTCACTACTTGTGTACTTAGCAATTTTTATGTTTCCTTCTTAAAATCACGCACTCTTATCTCTATTCTGCTTATTAATCACTTGCAAGTGTCGTGACGACAATTCATTCATTCATCAGTATCGCTTCTCACTTTTTCATGCCAAACTTTATTTTCTAGTACAAGTTCAATCTACTATTTTCTTTCGTTCTAAACGTTGCAATATGTCAGCATTGCTATACATTATTTATTTTCTAGGCACTGATCCGACACTGAGTTTGTGTATTGATAATACACTTGTATGCATCTTCGACTTTCCTCATTATCTATTACAAATAGACAAGTTTCTGCTACGTAATACATTGTAAGCATTATCTGTCTATTTTACAGTAGCGGCTTAAAAGCTGCTATTGCTTTTGAGCTTAGCAATTTCTAAGCTGTTACTGTACTGCTATTGGTGGTGATGCCAGTAGATCAGTAATGCCAAGAGAAGCAAGATTTTCTATCTGTTGGTCTGTCAGGCATCCTTTCTTTTCTTTTTCTGTCTTTCCTGTCTAGCAAAAACATTTTCCTTGTTTTTTAATTTAGTATCTATCAGTAGTCAGCTTTGTCATAAGTCGATCATTGCAGACTTTTAGGCTAAGATTGTATGGAAATTACATGTACATCTTATGATGCTTTATGCCATATCAGATACCTATTCTATTTTTATGGTATTTGAAACTTTTGTTGGTAACATATGTTTACATCCCATCCATAGCAAAATAGGCATAATCATGATTTGTTAATAGCTATTTTAGTGAGTGCGTTTCGTTTCAGTGAAGACTGTAGATGCGAATAAATGGAGTACGTTGTGTCATAATTCTGATCATCATGTCATTAACAATTCTGATAATATGGTATCATAGGTGAGTGGAGGAAAGAGCAATAAGTTACAGCAGGAACATGTACGGTGGTTTGATTAATGTCAAGAAATATTATCAACTCTACTTCTAATATTTGTAATTTGAACACAATGTGTGTTATTTATAGCACACATGATGTTCAAATTGCTTGGTAATACAAATATGAGAAATTATGTTGATAATAAATCTTGCTTTTTGCTAAACTTGTTCCCAAGAGCATTGAGTTGCCTGTTGAAAAAATCAAAGCAAATTCATTGTCCTTTCTGAAATTATACGTAGCTTGTGGGAGTTAGAAATATTGTTTGTTCAGTGTTCACTCCAATGCTTTTTTTCTTTGAGAGGATAATGAAGTAGCAAAGTTACTGGGATTTTCAGCTGACTAATTACGGTAGTAGTAGAGCAACAAAAATATTGAAATAATGTTGAGGAAGTTAATAAATTTTGCTTACATTGCTAGGAAATAGTCAAGTAAACGATGATGAGCACAAAAAAAAATTGGTTTCGGTCTGTCCCAATACACTGGCAAAAATTGTATACCGACTATTTTAGCCAATCCAGGTAGAGACTGAGGCATGAAAATGGGAGCATGATATATGACTATTTGAGGATTATTTTGTAATCAAAATTTCCAGTCAATACTTTTTTGTTGAATTGTGTGGAGGAATAGCTAACAGAAATGGGATTTACTGTCAAGATATTGAATTGAGGAATGCATAGATTCGTTAACAAATATATCTAATAATGAATGTCATAATACTTGCTCCAGAAATTTAGTGTTAATATCTTCTCTGCTTGTAAAAATTTAATTATTCATTTTGTTAGTTGGTTTAAATGATCTTTTTTTCAACCATTAGAAGTGGTGGACAATAATGTTGCAGATGTTGCTCGAAACTGAATTTGGTGCCCTTTGCAAAGGACTGATCATAACATGCTGCACTACTGCTGTTCTCATTTCTTTTCTCCCTCTGTACGTTCGTCATTTTGAGAAAACAACATTTTGGGCTGTTGGTATGAAAAAATTAACGCAAACGACGTTTTGACATCATGCGAAATAACGTAGCTTGTGTTTATTGGTTGTGGAATGTGGCTGCATGATGAGCATGATATAAATGGATGGATATAGTATTTGTATGTAACGCATGATAGTAACAAAAACATACACATTATTTTGGGTATTAATTTTATTACTTGTCCAAAGTATTAATAAGAGATGGGCAATCAACATATGGGGATGTTTTTATTAATTATCTGAAAAAAGTTTTCTAAGGTACATTTTAAATTGTGACTGGAAGAATCTTACCCACTTAGCTACTGCTTGAAAGTAAGTGCTGGTTGCAAACTTTTCAATTTTGATGGTATGCTAGGTTATTGTGTTGTCTTCAGTTGCTTGCAAAAGTAAGATTGCGTTGTCTATTGGTAACTGTTGCATTTTGCTGAACTCATTTCATAGTTATACATTGAAGATTTCTTTGTATCGACAGTCGTTTCTCAACTAGAGGCAGCAAGTGGTACGTTATCATTTATCGTTGCAGAACAGAAAAGAGCCAAAGCTAGAAGTTACTCATTAATTTTGGTGACATTGAAATTGCATAATTCTTGGTCATCATTGCTATACGAAGCTGCTACTATTTATTACTACTCACATATCTATTTGGCAAGTTGCTTCTGATGCATTTATCCAAATACAACCAAAATTGCTTTTTCACTAATGTTAGTACAAATATAGTTTTAGCCAGAAAAATTATGCTTGGTAATTAATTTAATTGTAGTATTGTAGTTCCTTTTAGCCTTGTTTCATTTTCAAATCGTTCAAACAAATCTATTGGAGAGAGATTATATGTAAATTTCTGGATCAGATCAAAAATTTGCTAATTATTGAAAAAATATTAACTGAAGATGGTACTGATGCATGCTTTGTCGACGGTGCCCTCATCTTGCATGTATTTCTCGCGAATCACAACGATAAAGGATCTGGATTTCAACTTAGCTATGTTGTGCAACTATGGAAATAGTTGCGAAGCATCTGAACGGCAGTTCATGGGAGGTGCCATGCACGCTGCATCAACGTACGATGTATCTAGTGAAAATGTGACCACACCACCTGCAACATCGGATTTAAAAACTGTTGAGAATCATCGATGGAGTGCCTCCTCAGCTTTGTCAATCAATTCTGTACGTTCTACGAACACTCAGACATCGTTGCCTTCATCTTGCATCTCTCAAAATACCAGCTCCTCCACTTCCTCAACGTCTTCCAGAGAAATTTCCCTTGAAACATGGGAAACATGTCCAGAAATTACATCTGTATTGTTCGACCTTTTGGAATTGACAAGGTAAGTTTGCTTGATTATTCACTGCTTCTGAAGCAATCGCTGTAAACCGATCAGAGGTTTTATTAGTGAATAACTTGCAAATTGTAATCTCCTGCACTTGTTTGGTTTGGTTTTCTGATCTTCAAATAAGTTAGGATTCGAGTGGTAGCTATTTGTAGAGAATCTGCAATACATATTTCGAATGAGAATTATATGTGGTATCGACGGGCAAACAAGACAGGTATTTGTAGGATTTATTAGATAGAAAGGAATTAAGTGTTGTAATTAATGCGTTGTAGGGACTAACTGAGTGCTGAGGCTGGCTCACCACTAAGCATTAGCTAGTAGTTGTTTTCTTAGTAGTGCTAGTGTTAGTATAGGGGCCGAGAATGGTGTCACTGAACAGTCGCCATCAATCTTCACTGCTACATTGCTCTTACCTCAGCATACATTTCGCGTCATTAATTTGTTTGCATTGACAGTCCTTGTGAGCAACTGATTAACCCTTATCCTTTTCATACTGTTTGCTATTTACTGAACTAGCACATTCATCTTGATTTTGATGTAATGTGAGTGATAAAAGTCATCAAACTTACTGTTTACGCATTTGCTGATGTTATAATATGCAGCACCGTGACGTTATGATGTGCAGTTGCTTGTTTGAGGGTATGTCAGGCTGATGCTCACTATTTGCTTCACATGAAAGCTATTTATATTTTAATATTTTTGTGTGTTTTGTTTTTGCACTCTTTCAATGCTATTGGTTAATTGTGTTGAGCTTCTGTAATAAACTTGGTTTTTTAGAATTTCGTTATATTGCACAGGCCAGATTTTTGCTGCTTGCATATCGTATCTTAACTCGAAAAGTTATATGTTTGACATTTACTAAGAAACTACCTTTAATAACACAAACTTCCAGTGTTCTCCAATATTACTGAATCGCATATCTTAGGATTTTACCCTTCGAGCTGCGTTCCTTCGGAACCTTCATGCTACTCATTGTTTTCATTCTTTGATTTGATCACATTCCTTCTCTTTCGGAAATGTCAGTTGAAAGAATAGGAACCGACTTTACTCTTGATGGATTTTAATTATTTGAAAATTTGTAGCTGAAGTAATTGATGGTGGGCTATGAGCTTATTTTGCGTATTTGATAGAAATTAGACTACACTTCTGAAGCATGTATTTAAGTTCAGTAATCACTTTTTTGCACGTGACTTACATTTCCTCTCAAATGATTAACTATAATACAAGAGTAATTGTCTTAATTTACAGAAGTGACTTTTGCTGAAAAGAATCTTCATGAGTCATTTAAGAGTGAAGAGAACAGCTAATTTATTTGTAGGACAGCAACAAGCACATCAGCAACTCCTAATGTCGTACCTATTGATAACAAAATTGAACAAGCTATGGTTAGTTATAGATTGTTTGATTGCGCTTTCTAATTTTTTTACTACCTAAGCATATTTTTACTTGTGAGGAATTGAAGGCTGTTAATGTCTTATCTTTTTCTTATTTGTTTAATGTGCTAAATATTTAGTAATAATTAATATCATTATTAACTTATTTTTGAGAACGAAATCATTAGTTTTAGCTCACAGCGCGCTTTTAAATTTCAAAATCACATTTGTTGGTGTGCTTATGTTACGTAGAGTCTTGTTAATATAACACCATGCTGCCATGTAATTAATGTGGCAGTAATTGTTCTTATTATCATAACGAGCTGTTATATTTGTATCAGTTATTGATTACATACTTTTTATTTAAGTAGTTTTCCAACATTGATTTCGTGCATATGTATTATCTTCATATAGGATCTGGTGAAAACTCACTTAACATTTGCTGTTCGCGAAGAAGTAGAAATTCTGCGTTCCACAATCGTTGATTTAGAAGCCAAAGTGAGTGTAATATGACACTTTATTAGGAACAAACTTTGAATTAGTACAGGAGTGAGTAGTTTATTTTATACTCATGTTTATAAGTTTCACGTATCACTGGCGTTGGTTTCGATTTCAGGTTGCCCATTTAGAAAGCCAAAATCAGGTACTAAGGCAGTTCGCTCCAGTTGAGGTAGTAAATTCATTGGCGGTACTGGTTCAACAACAACAGCAAAGGCAAGCGCATTTACAACAACATAATCAGCAAATATGTGATATCCCTTCATCCAGCTCTTCACAAACCGCCTCTTTCCAGGTTTTCTTGTTTTATGAGACTTGTCACTGATTACAATGTTTGAATCTTTTCATTTTTGGTAGCAAGCGATGGTGATTTGTATCTATTTCTATTTGTGCAGATTATCATCTGACAAAACATAGAACTTGGACATGAATATAGCAGTGAAGTTCTGACTTGTCGAAATTACTAGTGATTCGAATGTTTTTATCAGTCTTTGCTGAAGCGTGGTCTTTATATTTTGCAGAATTTGCAGAATACGCCAGCATCTGTTCAAAACGTACCGAAGCAACCGACTTCTGCAGTGGCACCGGAAGCCTCAGTCCCTTCAAATTCTTCAAATGTGATTCAAGTCGATGGTTCACATTCTGAAAAGGAATCTGTGATTGCGGCGGAACTATTGCATTCTAAGCAATCTGCTAGAATCGATGGATCTGATTCGTAATATTTAATGTTAATCGAGTTCTTTTTTATTGGTATTTTGATTTTGTGTACTATCATGCTTAATTTGTGTTGGAACTATAAATGGTAACAAATATTTTCAAGAAGAAACGATATTATCTTAAATTTGGATCGGTAAAAAGTTCTTTCTCATACAGCACATTTAATGCGAGCAATTAAGGCAACATTTTTATATCTAGTAAATTAATCCCGCAAAGTTTTTTGACCTTCTTCATCTGATTACATTGTGCGATTTTTTTCTTTTTGCACTACCATTCAAGTAGCTGAACATAATTATGTTGATTAGGGCATTCATTTTGTTCGAGACTAATATTTTCAAGCTCTTGATTAAGTGATCAACTTTGTCAGCTATTCATTGCATAATAATTATGAGTGTGATAGTTTGGAAATATTTTTAGAAGTCAAATATACATCTCATTCTTGTCTATTTAACGGATTTAAGATCATATCTCAAATTGTTGTTTATAGTTAGTGCAAAAAATTGATTATTATGTTTGTGGTCATGTCTGTGCGTTTTAGTTGTAAAACGAAACATCGAAATTTTTTCATTTACCATTCCTTCACTTGACATGACTATTATGGGGAAATCGTTTAAATATCGCTGCTAACAAAAAATTTGTCTAAGGTAGGGTTATAATTTCATAAAAAATTTTTGCTCTGCTTTTTAGTGCATTGTTTGTTGTGGGTGGAAGGAAATTCTGCTGAAAGTGGAAATAACTGCGCTCCATTTTGAGTAATCTTAAACTTTTGCTCTATGTACTGGCTTCATTTGTTTTCAGTATTGTCACTACTATTATTTTATTCAAATTCAATAAGAATTTCGATTACTTTCTACTTCAGAGTTATTGCTAAAATGTGTTGCAAGTAGCTTAAGAAATATGTAATAATAATTATTGACCAATTTTTTTGCGTTTTTTTGCCAAAATCATAGATGTAATATAAGAATATAAAAACATAATATACAACTCTAACTGTAATTTCAACCATAATTGTCTTAAAAATTTTTAATTGTTGCGATGCATTTTTGAAAGTATAGCAGTTACATCTCACCCCTCAAAATGCAGCTAAACAATTTGACTTAAGGTATTTTTTGTAGAAAGATCGTGAAGTCTTTCAATTTTTAACTTTGATTATTTGACTTTCTGAAGTAATGTACGATGCTCTTAATGCTCCTTTGCTCTTAAATTGTAAATCTGCTTATTAAGAGCTGTAATTAATATTATTGTTGAGGAGCTCAACTGTTCATTAATTAGAATGTAGTGTAAAATGGTAAAGAACTAGAAGGAATAAATTTTTTTTGCATTTAGAAACTGTTTTTTAACTACAAGACAACTCATATAATCATGTTTTCAATACCAAAGTTGCTGAAGTGTTGCCAATTATCAACTTGTTATGGTTCCTATCACTACTACAATTTTTGTAAATGCGTCTTGTACAAAAATGTATTGACAATGATTAGTTTCCCGAAGTGAAAGTAATCGTCAAAATTTTTAGCCAACTTATGAATTTGAACTTTCCAAGTTCTCTTATGTAGTTTCAATTTATTAACTTTAAAGTACGGAAGCGTTGTCCATCCACAAATTGAAATAATATATGCATGGTTTTTCGTGTTCCGTTGGATGGTATTCCGTCATTCTGGCTGTACTTGCCAGGCACTCAGTACATCTGTTGATTCCAGTACACTGATCGAGTGCTTTCCTATATCTTTCACTGAGCATATTTTAACCTCACTTGTTTTCCACTTATGACTCCATCCTTGGTTTTTTTCCGTTTATCCTCTATTTCCTATTTTCTGATATAATTCCAGCTGCCGGGAACTTGATTACTTGGAACTTGGCCGAGCGCAATATATCAATGTTGATATATATGTGTTAAGTCATTGCGTGAATTCACAAGTTATCTTAAAAGGATTGCTTATACGCACCGCATTTTCCTTTCTCTTGCACATTTTCGCTATTTCCTTCCATTGTCAGCAGTAATAATTTTATGCAACGAGTTTGGCATGTTCCATTATTACTCATTCCAAGCAGAAATTCATCCATCTAGTAATATTCGCATTATAGAAATAAGTCCCTTCCGAAATAGTGTTAAACATCGAAATAATCACAAGGATTAGTAATTTGGTAAGCATTTTAGAACTGTAAAATAACTTTTTGAGCGTATTTTGACTTGTTTTCTTGTTATTTTTTTTAAGTTGCTGGAGAATAAAAGTGAATGGATTTTTTGTTCATTAAATCATTATTTGTTGACAAGTAAGAAATGAATGGTTTTCTTATTAAAGAAAATAGAAGACTGTGCATTGCTTTTTTAAAGACATGTGGCAATAAAAACTGAAGAATTGATAACAATTCGCAATAGGAAGCTAAATTCGCGATATCAAAAGTTTGGAGGATTATAGTGTTGGAAGGGAGGTATGTAGCATTAATAATAAGTAATGATTAATAATATAATAATAAAGAGTGATAATTTTAATTATTTATTATTAATATGTTGATAAGAGAGATGACAGTAGTGATAGTATGAGTTTACTGTAGACGGGTTTAGTTATTAAGTTTGGTTTAATTTTTTAGACATTCCTTCGTTCAAAAATTCTATGCGTGCTTTTGACATTTTAGAGTTGACATTTCTGAATGTCGTCATGAAATTAATTTTTTGAATGAATATGAATATATTTACTCATCAGATTTAATACTTATCCTTATTACATCTACAAAGGAATGGTAATATATCAAAGAGAATCTCAAATGTTGATTCAGTTAGAATATTATCATTTTTGATAATGAAGAATTTAGTGAAAATGATAATTCATTAAAAAATTTTCAAGGTAAGCAGATTTGTTTTTCACATTAAATTATTGTACTTCCTTGGCTATCAGTTTTTTTTTCATTTTAGCTATTTTATTTTATTACTAACCTTGAAATATTTTGAATAATCTGTAGCCAAATGAAGATTCACTTGTTCAATTAGTAGTTAGAAAAGCATATTTTATAAGGTTGTGTTATGAAAAAGTGCCTATAAATCATTGGGATTTCTTTTTCCGAGAAATAATATTTCCTAAGAACTTTCCTAAGCTTGACATTTCTGAAAAGTTCTTCATATTTGCTTATTTTTGTATAAAAACAACATTGTGTACTTGAAACTTGAGATTGTATATTTACAGTGATAATTATTATATTATACTCTTTTTTCACAAAGTAATGGGTATCAAAAATGCATTCTCAAGTTACTTCTGATTTTTATAAATTTTCAAAATTTTTGAACTTTTCGAAATATAAAAAACTAAAACGAAAATTCTCTTCTTTTTTTGAAATCAAGAATATTTTTTTATTTCATATATTTTTGTCGTGGTTTCAACCATTCAACAAATGCCTATGAATTAACTTGTACCTAAAACTGGTTTGAAGTAAATGTGTCTTTCAACAACATCTTACTACATGGATAAAACCAGTGATTTCTATTGGTTGTGTTGTAATTTTGGCGAAATAAACTTTAAAAATGAGTTAGAATAGTAATTAGGAATGAAAAAACCAAATTTTTAATGCATACTAAGAAATTGTTCAATAAAGGGTCAAATTTTTTCAGTCTTTTCATTTCATTTTAGTTTTTTAAACTTCTTCCTTTTTCATTTCAGCAATACAATTTCAGTTTTGCTTTTCTTGCAAGATTGTACTGTTTTTGTTTTGCTTTTCTTGCAAGATGTATTATATTTGAACGAGGAAATATGAACGTAAATAAAAATTATAATATAATTTTAAAAAATAAAAATATAGGAGTAAAACTAATTGCTTAATTATTTTAATAATTATTTAAATTTCCCATAGTAATAAGTGAATATTTTATTTGTAAACGTAATTTTAGATCAAAGCATATTCTTATTAATTTTTAAGCAGTATTTGTTCTTCAATCTCATCTTCTCTTCAAATATATTAATCTAGTCTTTGAATAAAAGCTATCAGTTCAATTAAAATTGAGCCAGATTAATCGTTTACAAATGTCTTCATTTTTATGAAGTAGTTTTTGCTTTTCATGAAAATGATTGTAATTTTTGTTTCATTTTTCTTCTATTCTTAATTTTGATCCTATATTATTTGTACCTAAGGTAACTTTCAAGTCGTATTCCTGCATATTTATTAATTAATTATTCTTTTATGATTACTAATAATATGTTTGAATATTTAATACAGAAAATTGTCATACGAAGCGAAAGTTATTCTTATGACCTAAAGTAAATTCAAATCTGATCATAATGTACAGCGAAAAATTCGAGATTCAATCATAGCATAATTTATAAATGTACACTTCCATTTAAAACCTAATATTATAAATATGTATTACTGTATTTAAATCATTATTATATTACTCATCATATAATAATTAATAGAAATAGCAGATTTCTTTTAAAAAAAAAGGATATGATCTGAGCAAAACTTTGCTGGCAATTTTATTTATTCTTGAGCATTTATCCATTGTACAATACAAGTTATTGTTATTTCAGTAGCACTTAAACGCAACTTTGATATTGCGTCAGATAGCAAACAAAAGATGACGACGGAAAACAAAAATGATGGTAATGGCACAGACTCATACTTTCACAGGTATGAAGGATTAAAGTTAAATTTAACAATCATAATTTGGATAAATGATGAAGTAGGGAAAATATGAAAGGAAGCAAAAGTATGAACAAATGATACAGTAATAGTGATTTCATTTTAAATTTATTTGCACATTTGTTACCACTCGAATCGCCAAATCATAATATTTCGAGATACAATCATGTACTCATGATTATCTGAAGATTTTTGAGTACAAAGGTAAAAGGGAAAAATCATTATTTTAGGTGCATAAAATTTTCTTTTAATAACTTAATAAATATGGTATTTACTGACGTTCACTCATCTTCACTTTAAATTATCAATTTTAAATTGTTTGTAAAATTTGAATATTTTGCTAAATTTACTTGTGATAATTTGTTATTGCAAAGTTTTTAATACAAGTTGAAATAAAATCAAAGAAAATACAAATACTAGCAACTTTTTTCAGAGACATTTGAGATAACTGATAAAATTAATCGTTTTGATTTTTAGTGTAATTAATTACTTTTTTATTTCGCAAACTTAATTTTAGACATTTCAATTCTGAAATATTTTGCTCGCACAGTATTACTTTTACAATAGGCAAATTTTATTTATTTTTTGTGCATAAAAGAAATTTAGAGAAAAAAATGGTAGCCTTTTATTTTACTTTAATAACAAAGTTCAGTCAGAAATAATGCTATGGAAAATGTTACTTTTTATCATCCAATTTAAAAAATTCCAAACGGAAATTAGCAATTTTTTACACCTTTAAAACAGTTTGCTCAATCTTCTTAGATTTTTACAGAGTACAGATTTAAGGTTCGAAAAAAGTGGGAGCACAAAGATTGATTGAACAAAATAAAAATTACAAAATCCATTCCTAATTGAATGTATTATTTCAAATCACAGAACAATGAATAATAAGTCAAATAATAATTAGAAATATGAATAGCTGAGACAAAAAATATTTTTATCACGTGAAAAAATATTGATGTGGTCGTATAGCACGTTTTAATTAAAGTTATAATTTGGTCGTATAGCACGTTTTAATTAAAAATATAATAGTAATATTCAATTAATTGTAATAATTTACTGAATTTATAACTTACAGTTTTTGAAGAAGTTTTTAAATTCTTTTTAGACAATTTACTCGCGTACATTTATTCTTCATATTATTTGCAATAGTATTATTTATGGAATCAATTGGTGCAGCATATATAATTTCTACAACTCAAGCAATCGAACGGCAGTTTCAAATACCATCGAAATTGTCTGGATTTATGATCAGTGCCAGTGAGTTTTTATCTAATATCATTATGAATGTTTTATTTTGATGAACTAATAAATCTAAATATTGTTGAATTTCGATTGATATTTACTAACAAATCAATCGTTGTTTTTAATGAACAATAAGTTTGTCCAAAGTTTTAATTGTTTGTGAATTAAAAATCTTATTCAAAAGAAATCCAACATTGCTATAGTGTTTCTATGGAAACATATTAATTATTGGATTCATCAAATTATTTAAGTCAGAAATAATTAAAACTTTGCTTATTAAAAAAATTAAATAAACATACTGATTAATTAATTAAACATTGTCTTGAAAAATGATCACAGCTGTATACTTTATTATTTTAACAAAAGCAAATAACTAATTGACTTTGATTTAATAAAATTATTAATTTTTGATAAATGTTACAATTTTAGTTGCATTTCTGTTTTATTAAACAATATTCTAAATTTGAATATAATTGCTATAGTTATAAATGACACTTTTTTCTTTGATTGACTTCAAAAAAAAATTTTTTTGAATTGAAAACAATAATCAAAAAATATTCAACAAAAATTATTTGAAAAAGATTTAAAGTTTTATAATTTCAGTAAAATTTACAAACGATTAAATTTGAAAAAGTAGCAAATTGAAAATTCAATTGAGACTCAGTAACTCAATAACTCAATAATAATAACAATTACTGCTTAATTTTTCTATCTATAATTAGAACAGATATAAGTCTTAAATTTTAGGGAATCAAGGCTCAGTATAGATTACTTTTCAATGTCAATTATCAAAACTTTCAAATTTTTCAAAAATTACAAATTTAAATTTTTGATAAAGTAAAGATTAAAGTATTTCTAGCAATAATATTAATTTTTTGTTTTGCAAATTTAAATATTAATTAAAATTAAACATAGGTGATTTGACGTATATTCCTACAGTGATTTTCGTATCATATTTTGGCTCAAAAGGTAATCGAGCTAAATGGATTGGTATTGGTACTCTGATTTCAGGATTTTCACATTTACTCATTTCTTCATCAAATTTTTTATTTCCAATCGAACAACCAAATTTTAATTATACTAAACTTCAAGTTTGTATTCAAAAAATTTTTTGAACTTTTCAAAAAAAATACAGTAACTAATTTATTTTTATTTAAGAAACATTTTCTAATTTTGATTAATTTAAAAATGATACAGCGATAATTAAAATGGTTTTAGAATCTCTTATTTCCTTCCGAAGAACTTTTATCACCAAATGTAAACTTTATACAACTTCTGAACTATGAACCAATCAAAGATCGTATCAATGGAACTTTAAGAGAAAATTTTTTAAGAAAACTTTCTTCAAATTACTATTCATCAAACGTTTTAAATACACCATTAAAAAAATATTCTCAGCATAATGACGAGGTATTATCCAATTGTGATAATTATACGCTGAATGAGCAGTTACTTTTCAAGGTAAGTATACAATTCATACGGTACAAAAGTATCCAAAAGAAGTTATCCGTTCAATTAAGGTGTCAGAAATGGTAAAATAAAGTATTCTTACACTCAAAAGACTCAAAAGCTACTTTGAAGTCAGATTATTGAAGAGATGAATGAAACATTTTATACAAACCAAATTCTGTAAATGTCTTGCATTGCTTAGATAGTAAGTACTGTAAATTGATAGTAATATAATTCGTAATGCTTTTTTTCCAACTTTTAAATTCAAAAATGATTTTATTCAAGGCTGATCTAGTGTTTTGTTTTTAAGATAAATAAGATGAATGTAATCACAACTTTGATGACAAAAATGAAAAATTTTAGAGAATCTCAGTGTTGCTTAAAATATTATTGAGATTAATAACAGATTTTACAATGTCAAGTACTGTGTGTAATTTTAGATCGTTCAAGCAATGCATACTGTAATTGACAGAAATACAAGTAATAATGTGAAGGAAGTAAAACTTTTGCTACAACAATATGTTCATGAGCGTGCTGATAAAACAGTGCATGATTTAGCTAATATACAATGTAGTACTCGAGCATCATTTGAATTTTGTTCGAAAATTATCAATAAAATTCGACAAATTATTAAGGTAATTATTTTACACCTATTATTACTGCAAGTTTTTGCCGTTTCAACCAATCATTGTAATAAAGTAATATCAATTTTTGTCGGAAATACAGTATAAGCTCAAGTTAATGATAGTCTAGCAAATTTTTCATAAACAGTCAAGTAAATTATGAATAAAACAACAATAATGGATGCTGTAATGATTTGAAGCACTAATGGAAAAAAACATTTAAAATTAAATCATGCAAAAATGTCACCTATTTGTATGCATTTTCAATCATTTATTTATCTGGAACCTTAGAAACTGTTCAAAAAAATTTATTTCAGACTTCAGAATGTGACAAAACTTCATTTCATGAAGGACCACTTACGTTAATATTTTTCGGCTTGGTTGTTTTCGGTATTGGTCGTACCATGCCATGGTCGCTTGGTGTACCTATGATTGATGACAACTTTTCTAGACAAAAAATTCCAACTTTCTTCGGTTATATTTAAATTTTATAACTACTGAAAAAATAATTAAATATAATGAAATTATGAGAAAAGTTATCACCAATCATAGATACATTTCAGTGCAATATGATGAACTCTACTATCTGATAATATTTTAAAGACACAGCAATAATTTTGAATAGACATTTTGTAAGTATTGTTAAATGATACTTATTTTGGCTGAAAATATTATAGCTGGAATAAGCTTTGTCCGAATTCTTGGACCTGTATGTGGACTTTTAATTGGAAGTTTATGCAGTAGCTTTTACTATACATTCAAAGGTATGCAAATAATGGTGCTATTTTTATTTATTTACATACAATTTAATCATGATTTCGATAAGCTTAGCGTTTTGATAAGCAAGTAAGTATTCGTAAGCAGTCAAGCAGATATTACTTGTCAATATTAACTGTTTAGTTCATTAAAAATTAAGTCAAAACATGTAAAATTTGCCAAAAAAACCTCTCTCGAATCATATATTCTTTGCCTAACAAGTATTATTGCCTGTCACTTCAAGGAGTGACTGAAAATTTATTGAGATTAATTAATTATTAGGTCACAATTCTTTGGTAAATATATTCAAATAATTCATTGATAAAAGAAATGATATATTTAGCTCCCTCTGGACTAACACCGAAGGATGCAGGTTGGATCGGTGCTTGGTGGATGGGGTATTTAATTGTTGGTTTGCTTATGATCGGACCATCAATTGCTTTATACTTCTTCCCAGTTAGGTACCGAATTTACTTAATGCAAATTTATTGAGTTTAAATATATATTTTCAACAAAATATAGTAATTAAAAAAAACAGATGAACTTAAACGAAAAAATAAATAATTTATAGGATTAATTCTTTAGTGAAAAACAGATCACTCAAATAATTAAGCAATATCCGGTAATCTATAACAAAATGATTTCTTATAGATCTTTTCGTTTTCATTAAATAATTTTATTAATTATTTAGATTAAAACAAAAGAATAATAGTTTTCAGCAGCAAATTGATCGAAAAAATAAAATTTTCACCAGTAAATGCCAAGGATGAAGATTGTTTTGAACTTTCTAAGAAAGGAGTATTATCAATGTTTGATAGGCATCAAGAAAATACTCAAGGGTTATCTCTTCATGAAAAATTTAAAGGTTTGTCACTATTCATTTCTGCGAACTTTTTTGGATTACAGAAGTGTCGTCGAATATAATCAGAAGATTAGACAAATTTATTAAATTACAACAATAATCAAATCAAAATATTTTGCTGATTTACTGATCACTCCATCAATGAATACCACCATTTATCAGCTACTTTAGCCTTTATTGAGTGAACAAACTCGTTCTTAGTACTAAGACTAAGCTAGCTGCTTTACTTCGAATATTCAAGCAAATTCAACTAATCAGTTAAATTAGTTCATTTGATTTTTCTAAATTTAAAAATATTTTTTTGATAAAATTTTCAAACTTTCATGGTTTTAGCTTATTATTTCTTCTGAAATAGTGATATGAATTTTAGTTTTGTTGATTTAAATATTTTATCAAAATTAGCAATGAAAAAGAATGCCTTTTTAGCAGTATTAACTGATTGAAATTAAAAATATTATTTTTCAGATTTAACACGCATTATACCAATATTAGCGCAATTTGTGATCTAACTTAGCGTGACTTGTAATCTAACTTACATAATAATAGCAAATACGAAATAGATAAGAAAAACAAAACTACTAAATTAAATAAATGTTTTAAATTTAGAAGATGACTTTGATAATCAGCCTTATCAAATTCACAGTACCTTAAGAATCCACTTTATATTCTAATACGTATTTTTAAGCGCTTTATTTTCCAAAATAAGCATTTTATTCGATAAATTGTCGAAGTTAGCTTTTCTGTAGTAATTGCTAAAATTAATTAACAATTACTGACGGTATAATAATTATGCATTGCAATTCAAATTTTTATATTGACGGTATAATAATTATGCATTGCAAATCAAATTTTTAAAAACTTAAAAACCTTTTCAAGAAGAATATGATTACCTGCATTGATTCATTATCATTTTTATAATTTCCTTATTACTGTACATAAATTACTCCGTCCACTAAGATTATGGAAGTGTTTGCTCATAAAAATTCTATTAGCTAAAAAATAAACAGTATAAAAATCCAAGTTTTTTTTTCAGCATTCTACAAATCCTACAGTAAAATATTGCAGTCGAAAGTATTCACTGGTTTATTAATGGGTCGAATGCTCGATTTTTTTGCATTCCGCGGATATATGATTTTCGTTCCAAAATATCTTGAAATTCAGTTCGATATACCTCAATATAATGTGTATATTCTTTTAGGTTTGTGCCAAATTTTCAATGTGCGGAAATTTTACTAAAAAAATAGATTTGAACTTGTCAGTATTTAAAATAGTCAGTGTAAATTTGAAAAAGAATGTTGTAATTGCTTAACTGTAATCGAATTATTCATATCAAATTTGATAAATATTTCAAAACGCTATCAGTCACATCAGTAATAATATTATTGTCATTATTATCGTTATTATTTATGTTAGAATATTTGCATATTAGTGTTATTATAGTTTTAAAAAAAGATTTAATTGCATCAACTTCTGAAAACAATGCAAAGAAATCATGATAATATAATAACAATGTTATTGATGATGTCAGTATCACAGTTACTTATGTAAGTTAATATCCCTCCTAGGGATATAATGTTAGTGCTGTAAGTATTAGTGAAAGATACTTTCTCATTCATAATAACAGTAATAATAGGTAAGGAATTGAGCTTTTATTTTTTAATTCATTTGTGGAATAAAGAAATGCATGAATGAATTCATTAATTAAGTTCTATATTCCGATGTATATTTCAAATTTTTTAAAAATTAACTTTGTCAGTAGTCAATTAATACTTTCTAAGAAAGTTGAGATAAACATTAAAGGATTATTAACTCGCAAGATATTGCAGAAATTTAATTATTGCCTCTATTTTGTAAAACAGTTTTTCAGCATCTTTTGGAGTATTTGGATTCGCTATGGGAGCGATAAGTGGAAGCATATTTGTGCGATATTACAGATTAAATGGCCGCCAAATTGCTATATTACTTTTTGTACTATCTTTAATTACTAATATATTATTTTTAAGTAAAGCCTTTGTTGGTTGCTATTCCACAAGTACTGCAGTTGGCATTAATGGCAGGTATTTTGAATCCATTTATTTATTTTTTATTTATCATTTTTGATATCAACAATAATATTATTATCATTTTTGTACTGATAAAAGTATTATCACTATTTTCATAATCTTCATTTCTATGATAATATTGCACTAGAATTTATTTTCATGCTGCTTTTATAGCTTATGATTATTATTAGCAGTTTTTCTTGAGAATAATCGAAAATTAATTTTCTTTTTAAATCATATCGTGCAATTCATATAATAAATGGAATTTAAACAAAAGAATTTGGTGTATTTGGTATATCCTTTATATGGAAATTAAAATATATATTTGTTATTAACAAAAGATTAGTTATCAATATGGATAATAATTGAAAATGAAAGGTCTGATAATGATTGATCATCATATCAATTGGCAAATCAAACAATCGCTGATAATCAAATATCAAATTTCCTCTTTTTCTGATAATAAAAATCCACTTTCCTATGAAAATTGAAACTGGAAAACTTGCAAAATTATTTATCCGATAACTAGTACCTAAAATCTTGCTTATTAATATCTTAAAAACCAGAAATCATTTCTCAACATTTTCAAACACAGTCTTGATTACAAATTTTTTTCAAAAAGTTAAAAATAATTTGTTGATAATCCATTGCCGTGAAATATTATGAGTTGGCCTATTAATAAGGGTAATATGAAGTATAATTGAAAAATATTTGATAGTATTATCCATTTGAAAATTTAAATAATTTTTAGGCTTACCAATTATAATTATACACATACGTGTAATTCAAACTGTGCTTGTCAATCATCACCGCTTTATCCAGTTTGTGATAAGTCAGGATTTGTTTACTTCTCGCCTTGCCATGCTGGATGTCACGATGTGCATATTCAGATCAGCTTTTTGCAATTGAATATTTTACCTAATTTATTTTATTATTTTTTGAAGAACTTAATTTCAGGTTAAAATAGTTGATCTCAAAATACATCAACTAGAATTTTCATCATGTGAGTGTGCACCTGATAAAGTTTTGTCTAAAGAAAATTGTAAAAGTAATTGCACAGTAAAAGCATGGATATTTTTTATCCTTGCAATGTTAGGTGCATTTATTGCTGGTAACTGTTTGGTACCTGGAATGTTGCTGCTTATCAGGTTATTTAAATTTACTTTCAAACATTTGAAATAAAAATCTACTAATTTTTTAAACACAAGAGCATAAAAATATTCATATTTTATGAAAATATTTATTAATTAATACAACTTTCAAAATGCTTCTTTATCTTATATTAAATTTATTTAATTATTATATTAAAGTTGGAAATTGGACAGTTTTATGATCATGCTTGAGTGATCAGTGATTGATTTTAGATCTGTACCTCCTGCTCATCGAAGTATTGCTTTTGGCTTGCAAGGTTTTTTAGTAAGTTTGTTTGCAACCTTACCATCACCACTTGTTTGGGGAGCTATCGTGGATACGACTTGTTTAGTTTGGAATTATACATGCCATGGAACTAAAGTAATTTTATCATGATAATTTTTAATTATTACGATAAAAATTAAACATATTAATGTAATTTTTGTGAAAAACAATTTTGACTTGAACGGTCAGAGTAAACACTTTTTAGTTTTGGAAAATAATCAAATAAATTAATTAAAACATTTAATATTATTTTGAACGTCATTATTTTGCATTCATTTTTTTTATTATTCTAATTAAGGGTGCATGTATAATCTATGAAGCTGATTTGCTACGTCAACGATTACACTTCACGTACGTCACTTTCCGTTTATTATCAACGCTCATAGATCTCTACGTAATTAAACATGCTAATGGCATAAATATTCTCAATGAGCCAAATGCCGCTAATAAAGTTATGAATAATAAATCACTTTCACCTCTTGCTAATAATTCTGTACATTAAATGCTAAATTCATAAAGCAATAATTACTACAGAAAACAAAATGCACTGTTTATTTTTTTATGCATTGAAAAAATAAACTATTTATTTTTAATAACTTCGAATCAGTTTCTGCAATGTCAATTTCGAATCTAATACGAATCTTCGAGAATACGAGTTGTCATTGTTGTTTTATTCAAATTGTTTTATTCAGTCCACTGCACTAATAAGTTAAGCTTGATCATTATTGAATCACATATGTGTGAATATGCAAATTTTATCACTTTTGTTATTTTGTGCAGCGATCAAATGTTGTAGTATTTTTTGTGAAAAACTTTTTGTTAAATAAAAAGTATATGATATGATTATGATTATGGTTATGATAGAAATGCTTTGAGAAAGACCAAAAATGTCAATATGAACTGATCAAAATAGAAAATCACTGATAAGTCGTAGATGTCACTGAAGGTAAATGTGTTGAGTGAAAGTAAAAGCAGTGATGATTTACTGATCTGATTGTTGCAATAAGAAGAAAAAGACTTGAATGATAGAATTTGATCAAAGATATCATAATGCTATGATATGATCAAATTTGTGTGAAATAAATCAGTTTTGACACATTTTTCAGTACAATTTAAATTCAAAATAAGGTCAATTTAAGCTTAAGAAAAAATTAATCTAGGTTTCAGAAATAAGAACTTTTACAAAACAGTTCAATATAATGTAGTATTATTAGGGTTAACTTTTGTTGTTATCATTCAATAATAAATCTTGCTAAGAATAAATTCAGCGCTCTCCTGTGCTACTGAGCATATTTTTAGGTCAAGCTATTTCGTTTACGATTTTTTCTATCACAAACATATTCAAATTCTATTAAATATTTTAAATCCTATAAATAAATAATATGAAAACTTAAAAATATTTTAACTGCAATAGAAATTGTTATAATTTGTTACTTAAATACGAAATACATTACTTAATTAATTACAATATTAATTTTTAAAAAATTAAGTATTTTTTATCTATTAACTCATAATTTATGAACTTATAACTTTATCAATTAAAGTAAAACAGCTGTTTCATTTTTTTTTGCTTTTTACACTAGATGATTTAATTATGCAAAAAAATGTCACGCTTGTGTTATGAACTCAAAAAATTACTCAACGTTTTGGTGCTTTCTTTTAGAAAAAAAA